ATTTGTTTCTGCTCTCTAACTTTAGTTTGCCTCAACCAAATGTTATGAAACTTATGCACAATGCTAATTACCACAAAACACAGATTAAGATTGAATTTCGGTGGCTTCACTTCTACTGTTCTAGAGTTATGCCCCTTTAAAAATGGAAAAATTGCTGAATTTTTATACGACCGCCAAAAAATTTTGTGGTGGTATATTGGTATGACGTTGGTGTCGTCATCTGGCGTCGTCGTTGACGTTGTCCGAAGACACATTGGTTTTCGCACTCTAACTTTAGTTTAAGTGAATGGATCTCTATGAAATATTACCATAAGGTTCAATACTACAAAAGGAAGGTTGGGATTGATTTTGGGGGTTATGGTACCAACAGTTAAGGAATTAGGGGCCAAAAATAAGCATTTTTGTAACTTCCAGATATAACTTGTGTGTAAGTGTATGGATCTCTCGGACATTGTACCACAAGGTTCTATATCACAAAGGGAATGCTTGGATTGATTTTGGGGGTAATTGCCTTAAAATTTTAGGAATTAGGGGCTAAAAAAGGAGCAAAAAACAAGCATTTTTCTAGTTTCCAGACAATAACTTGTGTTCAAGTGTATGGATCTCTCTGAAATTGTACTGCAAGGTTTCATATCACAAAGAGAATGTTTGGATTGATTTTGGGGGTAATTGCCTCAAAATTTTAGGAATTAGGGGCCAAAAAAGGGGCAAAAAACAAGCATTTTTCTAGTTTCATGACAATAACTTGTGAGTAAGTCTATGGATCTTTCTGAAATTGTACTACAAGGTTCCATATCACAAAGGGAAAGCTGGAATTGAGTTTGGGGGTAATTGCCCAAAACATTTAAGAAAAAGGGGCCAAAAATAAGCATTTTTCTAGTTTCCAGACAATAACTTGTGTTCAAGTGTATGGATCTCTCTGAAATTATACTGCAAGGTACCATACCACAAAGGGAAGGCTGGGTTTGATTTTGGGGGTAATTGCCTAAAAATTTTAGGAATTAGGGGCCAAAAAGGGGCAAAAAACAAGCATTTTTCTAGTTTCAGGACAATAACTTGTGTGTAAGTGAATTGATCTTTATGAAATTGTACTACAAGGTTCCATATCACAAAGGGAAAGCTGGGTTTGAGTTTGGGGGTAATTGCCTTGAATGTTTAGGAATATTGGGCCAAAATAGGGGCCAAAAAACAAGCATTTTTCTAGTTTCCAGACAATAACTTGTGTTCAAGTGTATGGATCTCTCTGAAATTGTACTGCAAGGTACCATACCACAAAGGGAAGGCTGGGATTGAGTTTAGGGGTGATGAATCATAAGGGGGTTCAAAAAATTTGGGGGAGGGATTTTTTTTTCCCTTTTTTTTATTTTGTTTTCTTTAAAATTTTCCATTTTAATTTGGTTATTTCTGATTTATATATAAAAGCAAATAATAATGATATGGTTTGAATAGGTAAATTAAAAAATTTTAAGTCCTTAGACCACATTCATTCTGTGTCAGAAACCTATGCTGTGTCAAATATTTAATCACAATCCAAATTCAAGCTTGAATGTTGTGTCCATACTTGCCCCAACTGTTCAGGGATCGACCTCTGCGGTCGTATCAAGCTGCGCCCAGCGGAGCATTTTATTCGTTTCTGTTCTCTAGATTTAAGTTTATGTCAACTGTTATGAAACTTATAAACAATGCTTATTACCACAAAAGTCAGATCAAGTTCAAATTTGGGTAGTGTCACTTTTACAGTTCTTGAGTTATGGCCCTTTATAACGTTATATGCAGCGGGGGCATCATCTGTGTCCCATGGACACATTCCCCATTTATTTTTAATGGCAAGTGTTCCAGAATTCAAAATAGAGCTCCAAATGAAATGTGTGGTGATCCATTTTGTAAGGGATTAGATGGTACTTCTAATGAATAGTGATCCATTTTTGTATCTCCTTGACAGAGTCAAAAAGGTAGACATAGGTATGCTGTTTCTGGTGGTGGCGGTGGCGGCGGTGTCAAAAATGTATTAGTTTGTGATTAGGTCTAATTTATGGTGAATCACTAGTCAGTGGTAGGTCAATGATATTTGGTATGCAGCTGTATTAGCATTGGCACATCTCATTTCCATGGAAATTATTTGGCCCTGCCCCCTCAGTCATGGTCTATTGACTTTGATACTTTTGCTTAGTTTACATGTATTAGTTTGTGATTAGGTTAGTTCAAGGGGAACTATTAGTGGTAGGCCAATGTTAATTGGTATGCAGTTGTATAAGCATCCAGTTTGAAGGATTCAGGTGGTGCTCCTATTGAATGGTGATCCATTTTGTAAGGATTCCAGTGGTGCTTCTAAGGAATGGTGATCCATTTTGTAAGGATTCGGGTGGTGTTTCTAATGAATGGTGATCCATTTTGTAAGGATTCAGGTGGTGTTTCTAACAAATGGTGATCCATTTTGTTAAGATTCAGGTGGTGCTCCTAATGAATGGTGATCTATTTAGTAAGGGTTCAGATGGTGTTTCTTACAAATGGTGATCCATTTTCAATGATTAAGGCAGTGGTTCTAATGAATGGTGATCCATTTTGTAAGGGTTCAGGTGGTGCTCCTAATGAATGGTGATCTATTTAGTAATGGTTCAGGTGGTGCTTCTAATGAATGGTGATTCATTTTGAATGATTCAGGCGGTGTTCTAATGAATGGTGATCCATTTTGTAAGGATTCAGGTAGTGCTAATGAATGGTGATCAATTTTTAATTATTCAGGTGGTGCTTCTAATGAATGGTGATTCATTCCTAATGATTCAGGTGGTGCTTCTTATGAATGGTGATCCATTTTTAATGATTCAGTTGATGCTTCTAACAAATGGTGATCCATTTTGAATGATTCGTGTGGTGCTTCTAATGAATGGTGATTCATTTTGAATGATTCAGGTGGTGCTTCTAACGAATGGTGATCCATCTTGTAAAAGTTTAGGTGATGCTTTTAGCGAATGGTGATCCATATTGTAAGGGTTCATGTGGTTTCTTCTTATGAATGGTGATCCATTTTGTAAGAGCTCAAGTAGTGCTAATGACTGGTGATCCATTTTGTAAGGATTCAAATAAAGAATATTTTGTTAGCTGTATCATCAGTACTTTAAGTTATTAGCCTTGTATCTTTGATGCCTTTTTTTCAAATCCTAATTTTAATTTAAAAGCTTGAATATCCTATAAAAGTAAAATCTTTTTTTTTACTTCTTTGGTATAATCCTCTTCAGAATTTTTAATATCTAATTGACTTTGGATGATTTTTTTGTTTAAGGGTAAATCAAAATGAACATAACTTAAAGCTATTATTAGTTCAATATTTATTGTTAAGGATTTTAATAAGCACAGAAATTTGAAAGTATTACTAAGAGAACTTTTGATTCTCAATCAGTGAGTTGAAAACTACCCCTGATCCGATATGACATACTGATTAAATGTATTATAATTGATTTTAATGTTCCTGTACCATTCTGTAACAGTTTCTGTTATATCCAAGTTGATGTATAGAATTGTCCCTGTTCAGGTGAGGACAGATAAACTCCCTGATGCTTGAGATACCTGAGCTACCGGTAATGATTTTAATGTCATATATATTACAACAGTAAACATTGTATTGTTCTAATTTCTTTGTACCATAATTAGGTTATATTGTTTTTCCAAGTGGAAAATCCAGGAATATGGATTGATATGTCAACATTTAATGTCAGATGTTGATTTCAACTGATTTCTGTGGAGTTTGTCCATTGTTTTGTTATCTGGTACAGTTCTACTGAAAATGATAAGATTGTTGTGTACAGTTGGTTGGCAGAAATCTTTGTGATCATGTTTGAGTTGTTGCTGATTAAGAAGGAACAAAAAATCTTACTGCTAACATTTTTTGTAGGGTTAATGTTGACAGTAAGCTTTGTGTCGTCAGGTATGAATTCTGGCTGATAGAGAAGGACTTTACTGATAAGATTTTTGTAGGTTTTTTACAGTAGGCTTTGTGGTTAGCTATGAGTGCTTGCTGATTCAGAATGTACTGATATTGAATAAGTAGCAGAATTTCTGGAGATATTCAGATCAGAACATCATAGTTTTTGATGGTTGTTTTTTCACTTAAAAGTTTGCTCTGACTACTGATTTTCTCATTCCAAATTGATAAATAGGGGCTTCCGTGGCTGAGTGATCTGAGTAGTCAAACTACTGTATCACTAACCTGTAAACACTGAGGTTGTCAGTTTGAACCCAGCACCTGGCAGTTGTGTTCGACTCCTATCTGAATTGACTAGGATTGTCAGTTTTCTGACAGAAGTCTGTTTTTCTCTCCTAGCACTCCGGCTTCCTCCACCAATAAACATTGACTGCCACGAAATAGAACCATGTGCTGAAAGTAGCATTATAAACCACCAATCTATCAATCAATCAATCAATCAATCAATCAAATTGATAACTAAGTTTTTTTTAATTTTTTTTATTTTGATAATTTTCATTTTAATCAGTCCTGAGATGGAAATATGAAAAATATTCAGAATTTGTTCAAAGGGCTCTAGAATGCTTGCATTGTTTTACATGAACATTTTATGGAAAAGGTCATACACTGAGACATAATGTAAGAAGTCAGTAATCAGGTTGTTGCATGGTATCCTGATTATATTGAGGGGCCTCGGTGGAAGACTGTGGCCTAAGTTAGTCAAACTACTGTATCACTAGCCTGTCAACACTGAGGTTGTGAGTTTAAATTCCGCACGTGGCAGGTGCGTTCCACTCCAATCTTAACTGTCTATAATTGTCAATTTTCCTACCAAATGCCGGTGGTTCTCTCCAGGCACTTCGGCTTCCTCAAACAATTAAAACTGACCCCACAAAATAGCACAATAGTGCTGAAAGTGGTGTAAAACACCAAACAATCAGTCAATGAATGAATATATTGAAGTTCTCTATATTGAAATGTATGTGAATTTAAAATCAATGTTTAAAGTAAGTATTTAAAAATAAAGTAAAATCAAATCAAATCAAATCAAATCATTTTATTGGTGTAAAATCCAAATATTGGATTGTTACCAAGACAAACATGACAATCATTACAAACATACAATATTTAAGTTTAAACAACATTCATATTCTCTAAGACTATATTTAGATGTTTGGAAAAGGTGATACTTTTGCAAATTTGAAAGTGCAAGTACAAAAATTATAATGCAATTGTTATAAAATATATCATAACAAATACAATAAGAAAAATATAGAATAGTCACAACTTTGTTACATCGATTAGTTCTTCTTATCAGCTAGGCTATTTCTTAAAACATATAAATCATTAACTCCCTTGACAATAATTTTAGTTACATCATACTCATTAAATGTAAACATAAATGCAAATTTTTCCTCATCAGACATTTTGGTGAAATCTGGAACTATACTCTCTACTTCCTGAAAAAGTTTTTGCCTACATTCTTCTAAAATTTGACATTTTAAAGCAAAATGATATTCATCTTCTACCTCCTTTTTACAGAGAGGACATAATCTTTTTTCCAAAGGTAATTTACGGTGTCTACCCTGTTCAATATTTAGATAACTATTACTTATTCTTATTTTTATAAAATTTGATATCATGTATCGATCAAAATCTATTAATAAAAATTTTTCTAATTTGTATTCTTTTTATAAAGTATGATTGCACCTTGTCAACACAAGTGAAAAAAATATACATCCTTTTGGTAAAGAATTATGAGTTATCATCTTGAATGAGGAAAGAAATGTTGCTAATTAATGATTACAAAATGTAATAATGATAATGTTTCTTAGTTGATGTAGCATTGTTTTTACATAAGTAAAACTGCTGATTTTGAATGATGATAATAATAATTGTTTTATGAAGATTTGAAAAGACAAATTTTGTAGTGTTACACATCTCTAAAGAGAAATTTAATAGGGTATCTAGCTTTTGAAGTATATTTTCTTCAAGAACTATCTGCATGTCAAAATAAAAAATACGAAACATGTCAATATTTATAGCTATAATTAGCACTTGTATCTGTAGAAATAGATAAGATAAATTTATCATCTGATGTCAAGGACAGATGTTTTTGTTTATGTTAAGTAGTTTTCTTTTTGTATTTTAGTTTAGAGGCTTTGTTTTACTTCAAGTTACTCCCATTTTATAGATCTGAAAAGGTTCAAGCAATCTTCAATTCTTTACAAGCAATAAATGTGAAAGGAAGCAAAAAGTCAGTGCATACTGGGTTCAAGTGATCTTCAATTTTTTTTAGTTGTGAAGAATTGTCAGCATAAAATGTGTTTCCAGGAAAGTTTTAGGTAATCCCCATTTAACTGTTTGTCCCAGAATCTTTGAAAAGATTTTAAATGAAAATCCTAAAAATAAACTAGCAGAAATTTTATATTTCTTTACAATGCTTTATTTTCTGTACTCTGTGTTGGGTAGCTGTCTCATTGATGTATACTCTAACAACTTTTTTCTTTGCCCCATCAGCTCTGTTTCATCAAGGACTGCATGATCATATACTGTTTACATAATGCAGTTGGCAGCTTTCCATAGATTTGTACTTATGTTAGATGTGATATAGTATTGTAGTAAAATAGTAAAAACACAACATGTTGTGATAACAATCCTGGATCAGAACCAAAATAATGACAAGAATAATCCAAGTTATTGAAAAATAAATTCATTTAATATCACCATTATGTTTTTACTATATATTTTATCTTGTGCTATAAATATTCAGATTTAGATCTTAGAATTGGGTTTTCCAATATTATTAAGTTATTTTAGTATTAAAAAAAACTTTAAACTTGATGCTCTTAAAATCAATAAGTGTTCTTTTGGAATTGATGCAAATCGAAAGAAAAAAAACTTATTTTGAATGATAAGTCATATTTATTTATGATAAAAATGTTTTACACCGGTATTTAAATACATGTATATCATTTTCAGATTTTGTATGTGGTTTTTCATATTTTTTATTGTTCATTCTCTTTTTTCTATCCTTCAACACTTTAGATTCTAGATAAAAAAAAAAGAAGAGTTACCACCCTTTGGTAAAGTTTATCTATCTGTCTTGTTATATCAGATAAGTTTTAAGACATATATAACAAGCCGGTTGAAAGACAAGAATTCAACTTATGGTATAAATCTTGATTTTTATAAGATTATCACACAAACTTTCACTGATGAAAAACTCCTGGAACAGCTACTGATAGTAATCTAACAGAATATTTATTTTGAATCATTTATTAGTTGTTTTAAGAATGTCTGATGACAGTCAGTGTTAAATCTAGTGAAATCATACCTTGTTACATCAATAAATATCATATAAGTGCAATACTTTTTTCTTTCACCAGGTTTTCAAATGAAAAATCCAGGAATTGAAATGGGGAAGTACTGCCTGCATGCAGGTCTGGTCTGAGTGGCAGGCGGCTGCCAATAGATTCCATGCAATAATTATTAAGTTATGAACCATTCAACCAATGTTTTTCACATTTTAATATGTTGTTACTGATGACAAAAATGGAGGTCTATTTCAATTGACAATTTTTACTTTTACTATTCAGGAGTTAGGGACCTTGATCTATTGGAAAATAGCACTTTATGTTGTTTCTATTAACAATTATTTGTTTTTAGTTCTTAATTATCCTTCTATTTTTTATCAGAAAAATAAACAAAAATTTCTTGAGAAAAAGGCACAAAGAAGCTAAAAAAAATGACCTAAGGTAGATTGAGTGTCTTCTGCCATCTTGGATTGTAAAATAGCACAAAACAATCTGTCTAGATGGGTCTTTCAGAGATGTGCAAATTTTAAGAGATGAATGTTTATTTCAATGTAAAAACTTTCATCTAAAGTAAAAAGTAATGTGTTTTATCTTATTTTTACTGATTTTTTACAAATGCAGAATATTTTTGATTGATTCACTTTTATTTCAAACTTCCTCATATAAGGGGAGATAACTCAGATAATGTAACTTTTATAAAGGATTTGTAGTGAATTTACCTATTTTGTTATGTAGCAAGAAAACACATCCTGTTACCTCAATTTTTTCTTTTTATATTCTGAAAGCACATTGTAAGAGATCTCCTCATATTTTATCTTAAACTTCTATAAGTCTTCTTTCTATCACACAAAATTTGATTTTCCATGTATAATGTATACAAAGCCTGACAATTAGTACAACATGTAGCTAGTGTTTTGGATTCAGGGGTATCCATCAATGAGACAGCACCCCAACAACACACATTACCAAAATATACATAGAGATTATCATACAGTCTTCAATAATAGGTTTATGTCTATACAGCATCCCAACAACACACATTACCAAAATATATATAGAGATTAGCATACAGTCTTCAATAATGGGTTTATGTCTATACAGCATCCCAACAACACACATTACCAAAACTTATATAGAGATTATCATACAGTCTTCAATGATAGGTTTTTGTCTATACAGCATCCCAACAACACACATTACCAAAATATATACAGAGATTATCATACAGTCTTCAATAATGGGTTTATGTCTATACAGCATCTGGAGTCTAGTAAAGTTATATGAATAAATTTAACAGATACTTCAAATTTTGCCATCAATACTGAATTCTCCTAAAAGAAAAGAAACTGCAAAAAATCAAAACCAAACCATCAAGAAAGTCTGAACGTTAATTTCAGGGAATACATTACCCATTATTTGCTACATGAAACAACTTACAAAATCAATGCCTACTTATATTATAGTATATAAATCACATGCATACTATAACATTACCTTTTTTTCCCTTCTTCTCAATCTGTTATTTATCAATACACAATAATACAATTGGTTTTAATTAACAGCATCAAAAATATCTATCCATTATACTGATGTTACAGTTCTCTCTGGTTTGAATTATACATTGGTGCCAAATGATTTGAAAAAAAAAGAAAAAGTACATCAAATTTGGGGGATTTAAGCCTTACATACAGGTGAAATTCTGAAGAATTGTTGGTAATGTTGATAAATGTTAATAAAGTTTTGGTGTTGGTCCCAAGTTTTATTCATGGGGGATACTTTTAAGAAATACAAATTATTATGTTAAGGATGTTTGCTACTCTGTTTCAAAATAAACAAGCTTTTTAAAAGACTGTTATAAGTTGATAGAATATAAATAAAAGAACTAAAAAAGCAGAAAAAAATGAAGGGTCTGTGCGCTTGATTTTGAAATATAAGCCATTGAAAATTTGGCGGGAAATGATTCTATCAAGATTTTTCATACATTTAACATTGGCACCTTTTTTCTTTCAAAAACTATGAAAAAATAACAAGGATTTTATAGGATTTTCAAATATGGCTTTTTAAACTAAATGTAATAAAATTATGAAAAGAAAGGCAGGGGTTAGGGGGCAAAATTTGTTATGGCATTTCATGGATAAAACCAGAGGGTTCTGAATATCTGGCAAAAATTCAAAAACGAGAGGAGCAAACATCCTTAAAATTACTCGCAAACAAACAGGAAAAGATAGAACTTTTTGAAAATTCAAAAAATTATCTTTTTTTAATATTAATTTGATAAATATTTACTCATTCTACTGGTGAATATAATCTCTTGATCTGCCCCTCAAGATAGTTGGTCAATTTAAGAATTACTTTCAAAACTACTGGTCAACTTTTGATAATTAAAGAATGCTTCCAATCAGGATTTACAATAAAGGGTCGCTGCTTGCTACTATAGTAACCGTTAAAGTCATCTCTTCATAAGTTTAAAAAAAAACAAAATGACTTTACTGATTATTTAGGAAAATTCTATGACACAGATTACCGTGGATTATGTTCCTTTTGTTGTTGCTAGACCTCTGCAATCGTTTCCTCAGTAACATTGACTTTAAATGCCTCTTATTTGTCGTGAGCTATACATGTACAACAGGTGCCACTATTTGAGCAGAAACTTCTAACCTGTTGTCTCAGATATCCAAAGTTTTTGTAAGTTGAATTGTTGAAGAATTTGATTTAGTTAGCTGTGTTGTCTTTAGTGATAATTTTTATTTTTCAGTGTATTGATTGTTTCCATCTCTCATAGTTTGTTCTGAAAAACTGTTCTATTTTCATTTCAACATTTCCCATTGAATCTTATGTTAGGGTTATATAATTAACATGTACTGATTGTGTAAGACTTTAGAAATGTCTCAGTGAGAGATATAATGTGGTTACTCTTTTAAAATCAGGCTTTTTATCCTTTGACAAATAAAAATGCAAACATTATTACTACATAGAAAATATGTTGGGGGAAAAAATGCCTTTTCTTTTTCTTTTACCGATTGTACATTTGTGAGAATTAAATTTTGACTAGCTTTTGCAGGAAATTCATTGGGTATTATTACTGTATTATGTGGAATCATAATTTTCCTTAGATACCAATTTTACATAGAAATGATAGTAGCAAATAAAGTTAAAAGAAATTCCTCAAGAAAAAGATCCTGATGTTAAAAAGAGAGAAATTTTTACGGAGAGATATAAATCAAGTTTTATTTTATATTTTTGAGTTATCTTTCTCATTTTTATTTTGTAAACTGAAATTATAAGCATGATACACATCCCTGTCATGTTCTTGTTCAGACACATTAAATCCACCATCTTGTTTGTGGTTCTTCCTGAAAAGGTAAATAAAGTTGTCTGTTCATATTAGGTTATCTTGAAAGAAAGTTGTTCAACTGGTGTTCAAAAGCTTTTACACAAGACCTCTCTGACAATTGTCTGAGTTGAATTTATGTCATTTCAAAGTTTTCAGCTATATTATGTTCAAATTCATTCTGAATTGAAGTTTTATTTTTGTTGAAGGGGAGATAAATCAAAATGCATTTATGATTCTAATCCAGTTGTTTTAGAAGTACCATATACTGTTGTTCAAAGTCATCAACATTGCACTGGTTCTTTGACCTATGGCAAATGAAAACTGATATTTGTCTTGAGTAGAATTTTTGATATTTTTTCCATGTGAGTTATTGACAAATAATCAATTGAAGTACGTGTTATTAGAAGTACTATTTCTCATATTTACCTATGTACAAATATTCCTATGGATACAAAAATAATGATGATTATTGTAAAGGCAATAACTGCTACAATAATAACTCTCACGTCTACAAAAGAAAGAAACATGAGGTTAGTTGTAATCACTTTATTTTTCTTGGCCATCAATGTCTTAAAATTATATGCAGTCAATAGTAAATTGTCTTTTACTTGCCATCAATGTCAAATGTATGTAGCTAGTCCATCATAAAATATAAAGATAATCATAAAAAATATTTTCTCAAAATTTCATCCAAACAGAACGTGTGAAGTACTGAAAAAAGTCACTTGACACAGTTTTAAAGCTTCAAAGTAGCTATTTTTGGAAAAAATTGAATTTGAAGAAAACATACAAAGGTACCTGTATCTTAGAAAGGGTTGAACTTGAAGACACATGTATAATTTACCTGTATCTTAGAAAGGGCTGAACTTGAAGACATGTATAATTTACCTGTATCTTAGAAAGGGCTGAACTTGAAGACATGTATAATTTACCTGTATCTTAGAAAGGGTTGAACTTGAAGACACATGTATAATTTACCTGTATCTTAGAAAGGGTTGAACTTGAAGACACATGTATAATTTACCTGTATCTTAGAAAGGGCTGAACTTGAAGACATGTATAATTTACCTGTATCTTAGAAAGGGCTGAACTTGAAGACATGTATAATTTACCTGTATCTTAGAAAGGGCTGAACTTGAAGACATGTATAATTTACCTGTATCTTAGAAAGGGTTGAACTTGAAGACACATGTATAATTTACCAGTATCTTAGAAAGGGCTGAACTTGAAGACATGTATAATTTACCTGTATCTTAGAAAGGGCTGAACTTGAAGACATGTATAATTTACCTGTATCTTAGAAAGGGCTGAACTTGAAGACATGTATAATTTACCTGTATCTTAGAAAGGGCTGAACTTGAAGACACATGTATAATTTACCTGTATCTTAGAAAGGGCTGAACTTGAAGACATGTATAATTTACCTGTATCTACATCTGCTTGATGGCCGTTCCTACCAACATCTATGATGACGGAAGGGTGAATCAGTAAGTATGAAGAACTGGTTGTAATGCTGCCAGATATTGTAGAGTCTGTTTGATTGGATAAAAAAATGGAAGTTAGGTGTGTTTGATTGTCAAACACTGTTGAATTTGTCACTAGTATTTGTAGTGACTCTGTTGTATTGTGCCAGGATGAATCAGTAGATAAAAACACTGAATGATCAGTTATGGTTTGAAAACTGAAATTCTCTGATTGGTGAAAACTTGTTGAGATGAATAGCATTTGTGATGTTTTGATTGGTTCAGTATATGTCTGTATAGATGGTACTTGGTCAGATATAAAACTAGTATACAGGACTGTTTTATAACTCTGTGGTGTTGATGGCATCACTATAGGATAGCTCATACACAGGATATTCATGCCTGAAGTATAAAAAAACGTATTTAATAATTGATTGTAAATAGCAGTAAATACTAACCCTGCGAGGCATGATTTTTTGTGGATATGGGATTTTAAATTGGTTATGGCTCATGGTTTGGTGTTTTGTTTGAATATAAAGATGCATCTGTTTTGAATACCTTAGTCTGCTGTTGTCTTATAGATTATTTTTATATTTTTCTCAAGATATTTTGTCTATTCTTAATTGAAGAAAGTCTTCCAAAAAGAAAATAGATTTGATAAATCATTTGAAATAGATACTCCAACACATTTAGACATTCAAAATAAAGAAAAAAAAATAAAAAAAATTTGTGAAACAAATTTACAAATGTACATACTGCTTCCTGTGATTTCCATCCATAGTTTGAACACTTCCTGTTTATACTGATTGTCCAGTAACAATTCTACAGAGTCCATATCACTGAAGATAATCTCACTTCTGATGTTAACATCATTGACATTAATTGTAGCTTTATTAGTCACAAACATAAACACTACTGGACTGTCATTGGATTTCTGATGATCATAGATCTTAGCCGTTATATTCCGTCCTGTTATATTACAGCGACAATTGGAGGGATCAAGTTTGTCTCCTGGGTAGTTAGGAGATTTTAAGTAAAGTTTTTGTTTATTTTGAGCATAATATGGTCTGCAGATATCAATCATTTGGTGCTCTGAAATTTGGAAAAAGGGAATTGTAATTAAAGGGAGGTAATTCTATATTTTGTTTGCTAAACTTTACTCCATGATCTTCAATGATGTTGTTCATACAGAGCCTTATTTGATTGTCAGAAATTGGATTATTACAAAAGTCATTCATAGTTAAATAATTTGTTTATTGTACAGCTATTTGTCCCATGATGCCTTCATTCCTGCAACAAATTTGCAGTAGAAAAGCAGTAAGTCAAAGCAGTAATTCAAAGTTCAGTATTTTCAATGCTAAATCAAATCAAGTTTTTTTCTTGGCCAAAACAAATTGTTTTCAAATATAACACTAATCTTTTTTTAATAATATTGCTGATTCTTTTTAAAGAATAACAAAATGGACCTCTTAATCAGGTCAAAATACTTACTTGAAAAACAGTCATAGAACACTGTGAAAGAAGTAGCATTGTGACTACCACAGACTTTTAGGATAAGTCCTGAGAGTATCGGAAAGGAACAATGACTGTAGCCATTACACTGCTGTGCACTGACTGGATTGATGATCTCTGCTTGACTACAGTGACTAGGATCGTAATGACACTTGTCTGTAGTGCTGTAGGAATACTGTTCATACTGGATGTGTAGAATATATTGATCATTTCCACAGGACAGAGAAAATATATTTCCGATACACACGGTAGCTTTCATTGATGATTCAACTTGGAATAAAAAAAGATATATTTAAACAAGAAACTTAAGTAGTTTATAAAGAGTAAATTACATTTGCCCGGAGGGAGCATAAATGGTAGAAGGGTCGAATTGGGTCTCTTCACCTAACATACTGAAAGACCTATATATATACATGGTAGCTTTCATTGACGATTCAACTTGGAATAAAAAAAATAGGAATTAAATTTCAAGAAGTAAACTATTTGTTCTGCATTTTAAGTTATTTATTTTAATAATTTTTTTCATTGAAAGAACTCTTTCATGTCAAAAAGCTGATTTTAGATTTATTCTGTTATGCACAAACATTAAAACTGACAAAGATCTTAATTATTTTCTGTAAACAGTATGTCAGTACTTTGATATTTTTCTGTTACACTCACCATTTCTAGACAACTGTAACATGACAACAATGATGAACCATATTGTAAAATCCATTCTGTTACATATTTGTGTAGAATAATATCATCCTGTGGATATATATACATTTATTTAGATAGGAAGAAATGCTGCATTCTATATTGTCCACAAAAAACAAAAAATAAAATAAGCCAAATAATAACTTTTAAGTTTTTTTTTTACAATTATTTAACAAAAATAAAAATAAGGAGATGTAGTATGATTGCCAATGAGACTGCTATCCATCAAATGACGTGGTAAGTAAGTCTGTTTTTAAGTTGTCACTCAGTGACTGATTCTTCTATACATTCAAAAGGGCGCCAATAGAATGTAACGGGTTAAAATTGTGGTTTTGAGCTGTCTTCAAGCTTTCATAGCATTGTCATATGACTAGAAATTAGTTATTAAATTTTAGAATCTCAAAGTTAGCATATGGTGCATTCATACTGTGAATTTAGTAAGGATTGAAAGACTTGAAAATAGCCCATGTGTGATATATAGATATAAGAAGATGTGGTATGAGTGCCAATGAGACAACTCTCTATCCAAGTCAAAATTTATAAAAGTAAACCATTATAGGTCACAGTATGGTCTTCAACACGGAGCCTTGGCTCACACTGAACAATAAGCTATAAAGGGCCCCAAAAATTACTAGTGTAAAACCATTCAAACGGGAAAACCAACGGTCTAATCTATATAAAAAACAAGAAACGAGAAACACTTATGAACCACATCAACAAACGACAACTACTGAACATCAGATTTCTGACTTAGGACAGGTGCAAAAAAATGCAGCGGGTTTAAACGTTTTAATGGTACCAAACCTTCACCCATTTTCTGAAACAATAGTGTAACATAACAACATATATAAATTCAGGGGAAATTGGTCCAGCTTCAAACATTTTCAGCATTTTGAGGCACTAATTTTAGAAAAGAACACAGTATTATTGTCAATTATAGTGGAGTTTATATTAGACAAATTGAAATATTTGCTTAGTTTTGAAGAGCATACAGTAATTTTTTAGTTTTCCCCTTCTGTCAAGTTGTCTTTTTTCGATTCTTCTTTGACCCTTGTTAACTGTTAATATTTACCAATAACTTGAAGTTAAAAGTTTTGTGTTTTTGCCTAAACAAGAATAAGATTTGGATGTATTTACCTTTCTAGCATAAAACTAATGATATCCATATTTACAACTGATATTGACTTAATGAAGGGATGTTTTCATGTAATTTGAATTGTTAAATTGGTAATCAATTTCTTAACTGTCACAGATGTTTGTCTTGTCATGTGACCAACATGTCTTAAAAGTAAATTAAAAGTTTTGTCTGGGAAATTAAACCTGTATGAACTTATTTATGGTGAGGATGTCTCTATGACACTTAAATCAATTATCTGATCAATTTTTATAAAAGAAAACAATAATTTCGTATGTTCATTGTATTCTGCTCAGACACAAAATTTATGTGAAAAATTGGTTTAATAAATCCTTTATTGATGTATAGAGTATACAGTATTGTCTCAGTTATTATACATGTAGTTAAAAGCTTTTTCTGAACTTAAAAAGGTAGAATAAACCTGGTAAATGTTAAAGTAAATTTAAAACAGCCATGATTAACATTTGAGTATGCTGTTATAAATTTGCTATTAGTATTGATGATATTAAGTCATATTTCTTTCATTTGCAATTTAGAAATGTAATGAGTTTAATTACCTTTCTACATGTTCAGAATAAAAATATCCATAATATAAAAACATTGCCACAAAAATTCACATGATTGGACATTGCTCACTGAATGGGTTTATATATTTTTTTTTTACTTTTATACCTTTTAAAGAGAATGTATAGTGTATAAATGTTGAAATGATGATCAGAGTGGCAACAAAGTAGTGGACTAAAGTATCTATGGTGAGAAGAATGTGAGAGTTAACATTAGAAATACTGGTAGTTGTAAATAACACCATTCATATAAATCAGAAAAGTATTGTTCAGGAATTACTGTAAACTTTTTCTTAAGTTGTTTAAAGTGGTTGTAGAAGCCTATAATGTGAATTAAAAACATTTGTAAAATGTCCATCATACAAAATATTTCATATAGTAATGGTGTTCAGTAATCTCCTGTATCTGGACTGTGTTATATTTTGTATTGAAAGTGTGATATTGTTGATTGTAAATATAGAAGTTTGTTTGGGGTTAGCTGATATTTGATAAATATGTTAGTTCATTTACCTTTTGTAAATTTATTGATCAAGATTAAAAAGGCAGAGGATTGAGATCTCACAAGATTTGTTTAACCCTGCTATAGGTTTTAGTGTTTGTGCCAGTTGACATTACACTTGTCCACTAACAGACAGGGTTCTGTGGAACCGTTTACAAATCTTTCTGTAGACTAAGGATGATTTAGTACTTGTGCCAGTTGACATTACTCTTTTCCACTAACAGACAGGGTTCTGCGGTTTACAAATCTTTCTGTAGAGTAAGGATGATTTAGTACTTGTGCCAGTTGACATTACACTTGTCCACTAACAGACAGGGTTCTGTGGTTTACAAATCTTTCTGTAGAGTAAGGATGATTTAGAGTTTGATATACTGTATAGACATGCACCTACCTGTGAATAGTTGAGGACTTAATTAAAGGTAAAATGATGTTTATTTGGTAGATCATCGACAGGCCCAACACACAAGGTAAGATATGTGGCAATAAACATGAGTAACTTATTATTGTTTTTTTATTTTCAGTTATTATAACTTAGATGACACAGACCATGACAGTATTAACAAGTTCTTGTCCAAGTTGGTGGAGCGAGCTCTGTATGAGCTGGAGTGCTCTTATTGTATTTCAGTTGGAGAGGTATGTATAAGTTCTTGTCCAAGTTGGTGGAGGGAGCTCTGTATGAGCTGGAGTGCTCTTATTGTATTGCAGTTGGAGAGGTATGTACAATTTCGTGTCCAAGTTGGTGGAGCGAGCTCTGTATGAGCTGGAGTGCTCTTATTGTATTGCAGTTGGAGAGGTATGTACAAGTTCTTGTCCAAGTTGGTGGAGTGAGCTCTGTATGAGCTGGAGTGCTCTTATTGTATTGCAGTTGGAGAGGTATGTACAAGTTCTTGTCCAAAATTGGTGGAGCGAGCTCTGTATGAGCTGGAGTGCTCTTATTGTATTGCAGTTTGAGAGGTATGTACAAGTTCTTGTCTAAGTTGGTAGAGCAAGCTCTGTATGAGCTGGAGTGCTCTTATTGTATTGCATGAGGGGAGGTATGTACAAGTTTTTGTCCAAGTTGGTGGAGAGAGCTCAGTATGACCTGGAGTGCTCTTATTGTATTGCAGTCAGAGAGGTATGTACAGTTCTTGTCCAAGTTGGTGGAGTGAGCTCTCTATGAACTGTAGAGCTCTTATTGTATTTTAGTCAGAGAGGTATGTACAAGTTCTTGTCCAAGTTGGTGGAGCGAGCTTTATATGAACTGGAGTTCTCTTATTGTATTGTAGTCTGAGAGGTATGTACAAGTTCTTGTCCAAGTTGGTGGAGTAAGCTCTATATGAGCTGGAGTGCGCTTATTGTATTGCAGTTTGAGAGGTATGTACAAGTTCTGTCCAAGTTGGTGGAGCGAGCTCCATATGAACTGGAGTGCTCTTATTGTATTGCAGTTTGATATAAAGTTTGATTTACAAAGGAACTATATGCAAGTGAATATCTAAAATAAATAAGTTGTTTGCCCAACATTTTCTAAATTTAAGGACAAATAGCATATTAAAAGTTGGCAGTTGGTGATTAAAATTGTGTATAAAGTTTCTGCAAGTCATAGAAACACATAATTATTTTCATGATATGTCTTCAACTTAGAATTTTGCACCATCTCCAAATCCAGAGTGATTGCATAGATCCAGCATGACTGAATCATAAACAGCTCTGTATGGTCTCAAGTGCTCTTATTGTATTGCTGATGCTTCATGGTCTCCAGGTTTAGTTGTTACAAAATATTAGATGTTTTTATACACAGGATAAATGCTTTATTAAAACAAATCAAAAATGGATAGTGATTATTACAAACCAGACATAAGATTTTCTTAATGCATATGTAAATAAAATAGTTAAATGAAACTAAAAAAATACATATTAAATGTAGTGCTACCTTATTACTTTTAAAATGGATATCCTTTTTTTTTCAGGACAACAGAACTATAGATCCACAAACACTTGGGAGAATATCATCATATTACTATCTCAACCATAACACAGTACGCATGTTTAGAGATGAACTCAAACCAGAAAGTACTATAGCAGAACTGTTAGATGTTTTATCTGTGAGTACATAACTTAACATGCTAGCCAGAAAGTTCTATAGCAGAACTGTTGGATGTTTTATCTGTGAGTACATAACTTAACATGCTAGCCAGAAAGTTCTTTAGCAGAACTGTTGGATGTTTTATCTGTGAGTACATAACTTAACATGCTAGCCAGAAAGTTCTATAGCAGAACTGTTGGATGTTTTATCTGTGAGTACATAACTTAACATGCTAGCCAGAAAGTTCTATAGCAGAACTGTTGGATGTTTTATCTGTGAGTACATAACTTAACATGCTAGCCAGAAAGTTCTTTAGCAGAACTGTTGGATGTTTTATCTGTGAGTACATAATTTTACATGCTAGCCAGAAAGTTCTATAGCAGAACTGTTAGAAGTTTTATCTGTGAGTACATAACTTAATATGCTAGCCAGAAAGTTCTATAGCAGAACTGTTGGATGTTTTATCTGTGAGTACATAACTTAATATGCTAGCCAGAAAGTTCTATAGCAGAACTGTTGGATGTTTTATCTGTGAGTATATAACTTAATATGCTAGCCAGAAAGTTCTTTAGCAGAACTGTTGGATGTTTTATCTGTGAGTACATAACTTTACATGCTAGCCAGAAAGTTCTATAGCAGGACTGTTGGATGTTTTATCTGTGAGTACATAACTTAACATGCTAGCCAGAAAGTTCTTTAGCAGAACTACTTGAAATATTATATGTGAGTGTTTAATGCTGCATGCTTACTAGATGGTTATGCAGCAAAAGTAATTAGAATTTTGCCTATGATGATCTGAGATTCTAGCCTATTAGAAAAACATATAGTCACTGCCAATTGTTGATATTTACCAGATGGTAATATTTTTGGATTGCTTTATGTGCATTAAGTGTTACCCTTTATACCTATTACTGTCAAACAGTAGATGTCTCCTTATAACACTGACAAGTCTCATATACCATACCACATAGAAACAGTAGAAGTCTCCTAATAAAACCTAACAAGTCTCATATACCATGCCACAAAGAACAGTAGATGTGTCCTTATAGACAATAACTAGTCTCATATACCATACCACATTGAACAGTAGATGTCTCATTATAGACAATAACTAGTCTCATGTATCATACCACATTTATCTATACTGAGAGTAGAAAAGGAAATGTTGAATGGAACCCTTATCCTGCCATACTGGATACTTGATATCATACGCAAAACTTTATAATAACTATTCTAATTTTATTAACAAACTAATATACTAAGACACCATTGTATACACAGTATACTAGTATCATATTCACAATCAATTCTAAATCTATTATACTGAATACATATGAAAATAATAATAAATGTATCATTTGGCTTTCTAGGGGGCTACTCATTAAAACTTACAATAATACTTATTAAAATAACCAAATCAAAAACACTACCTACTCAACACAATTTAAAATTAATTAAAAAATAAATTGCCTAAATTATGCAATTTTAAGAACCTGCAGTAGAGCCCTGACAGGTGAAAAATTTATTTTAATACCTGACTGGTAGAACCCAGACAGGTATAAATTTGAAAAATGAGAATACCTGCGGTAGATCCCAACAGATACTTTTAGAACCTGAGTGGTAGAGCCCAGACAAGTATGAATTTTGAAAACTGAGAATTCCTGTGGTAGATCCCAACAGGTACTTTTAGAACCTGAGTGGTAGAGCCCAGACAAGTATGAATTTTGAAAACTGAGAATTCCTGTGGTAGATCCCAACAGGTACTTTTAGAACCTGAGTGGTAGAGCCCAGACAAGTATGAATTTTGAAAACTGAGAATTCCTGCGGTAGATCCCAACAGGTACTTTTAGAACCTGAGTGGTAGAGCCCAGACAAGTATGAATTTTGAAAACTGAGAATTCCTGCGGTAGATCCCAACAGGTACTATTAGAACCTGACTGGTAGAGCCCAGACGGGTATAAATTTGAAAAAAGAGAATTCCTGCGGTAGATCCCAACAGGTACAAAAACTAACTTAATTATCACCCTGAAATAAAACAAAGCCTTAATAATTTATAAGATGTATTAATGAATTGGGGGAAAATAATTTCCCTGAAATTAAGTAGGCCAAATTGAACGATTAGCATGAGTGAAAGCCCCCAAGAAATGATACATGTACATATATATAAATTCAATATACCATTAGAAAGAAAAAGTACTTGAATATAATTTCATGTATGAAAATGAAAACAGACAAACAAAAAAAAAGAAATAACTACAATACTAAAATAATTAACAAAATGTAGTTCTTATAACTCCTTTGATATAAGTTAGGAACGACACATTCTGTTTTATGCTTTACAAACAGTTTTTGGGTCAGTTGGAATGTAACGTATATAACAATTGGATGACCATCTACCTAATGTGTGGATAATATGGTCTTCAACCCCTGCTGCTGCTGCTGATGTTGCAGCACTTTTTCGAAAAGAATGACCACAAAATTTTCTATCATTATACCCTTATCTGAACAGCAAATCTCGAAGCAGAGATATAAATGTATCTCTAGACAAAGGAGCGTTATTATACTCATCACTAACAAATAAATAGGAATCTGGTCTAGCTCCATAATTTTTTCGTACTTGTATATATCTTCTCATCAAATCAACTGGGTTGAAAATATCATTTTCAAAAATAGTAATGTTAATACCTTCTCGAAATGGGTCACATTTGGAGGAATTCAGATGTAATGTGAAATTTTGAAAAATTTATGTCTAAATTAATATTTTGAATTAAAAGTGTGTCCTGACTTGCAATTTACTACTATACGTAAATTCACCACATCAGAGAAATCCAAAAAAAGCTAGATTAAATGCACACTGCAACATTTAGTCAACAAATGCAGAAAAAACTCCTTGCTTAAACATACAGCACAATTGTTTCCAAAATTTGAGATGTTATAGGTAATCTCTTTTGTTTGACATTACTCTGAGACTTTTTAATACCTCTTAATATACACTCTAAGCGTGCACAATTTGTCTAAGGGTCAGGATGCCCTATTCTTAAGTAATTATGCCTAATTCCTGCTAAATACAATTTACTTGTAGCATGGGCTAGCTTAAGAGAATTCTGCAATAGGTTACCAAATAAATTAAACAATCTTCATCTGTTATTGGCACACTATTTATATGATTCTGATTAGTCATAGCCATAAATGTTTTAAAACATAGAAAACCAGAATTATAAGTATGCCTATAGAAACCTGTGGTAGAACCCACAGGTGAAACAACAATAACCTGTGGTAGAACCCAGATAGGTTAAAAATACTTGAATACTGTACATAGTAAAACCCTGATAAGTGAGACATATAACAACATGTGGTAGAACCCAGATAGGTGAAAATGCAATAACATTTGGTAGAACCAAGAGAGGTAAAAATTCTTGAGACTGCATAAATAGAGCAGGTCTGCCAGCCTTGCTATGTACAATGTACGTAATGTGGTACAATGTTTACTGGATTGATTGATTGATTGTTGGTTGCTTAACGTCCCAATATTCACTGGATATATGAATGTTGAATCCTGCACAGCTGAATCTGCCAGATACCATAACCTTGAGTTCACTTGTACTGACAAGTCGTCTAGCACTCCTCAGGTGGATTATAGTTACAATTTCACCTACTATCATTCCTTGAGAACCATAAACAGCATTCCAGCTGGGACTATTATACCATAATAGTCCCAATTACTGCTGAAATATAAAACTTAAAGCAGTATCATGTCTTAAACATTCGGTGCAACCTAAACAGGTGGAAATAATATATGAACCTGTGATAAATCCAGACAGGAAATTCTGGAAATGTGGTATAACCCTGACAGTTGAAAACATGCAATATCCAGAACCCAGACAGGTAAAAAAAATCTTGAAACCTATGGAAGCTAGAACCCTGGTGAGCATTAAAAAACATAAATGTGTAAGACACCTGTGGTTGATCAAAGACAGGTGTTTTTTATGAGAATTCCTCAGGTAGATTTTTACAAATACTTGGGCTAGACGGTAAGCACTCAACCCTGGATGATTGATTGATTGATTATTGTTTGCTTAAATCCAGTTGCAATTCTGCATAAAAGCCTGATATTAATCCACCATTCAAAACTTAAAAATCCATAGTACGGATGGTCAATCAAATATTCATATTTTAAAGTGGAAACTGAAAAGTCAAAACTGACATGGGGATCTAAAATGTCTTTAAGTTGCCAGATCTGATACTCTGGGGCCCATATAGTTCTCGTTTTTTGTTGTTGTTGTCAGTATATACATATGTTTTAGATTTCCCCTATACAAATCGAACAAACATGACTATTGCAGCATCTCATAGTTGCGCATCCTCTGATACCTCTGAAAATATTACAAATTTCCCAACCTAAAAGAAATATTCTGTCTCTTACACGATTAGTTATTCCTTACTCTTGTGCTTATAAGACTGTTGCAAAACCAGGAGTGGGAAATGTGTTACCACACAGGTTTGGATGAGTATTAGCGAAAAAATGATACAAAAGAAAGTAGTGTTTATAGTAGACAACTCTGCTGCTGTGTTGTAAAAAGGCAAATGAGCTGCACATAAACAGTAGTGATATTCGTAGGAACCCATACCTGGGTAATAAGTGGTCAAATCTACGTGATCCCTCCTATAGAAATCACATTAATTCTCCATCGGGGGAAGACAAGAGCACGTTACTATATATAATAACTAAAAACTTGAATAAACTCCCCTTCTTGATGAAGACCTAGTGAGCCTGGGAATAGATTTGTTATGTATTGCCCCAATTGAAGTTTCATTTTTTCAGACCCGGCATAATAAGGGTTGAGTAAGAAGTTCGTACCTGACGTGATGTTTTCCTCAGTGGGGAGAAAGGCAGTAATTCAGCTGCATATCACCTTGTATTCCGGACACCACACACTTCCTGGTTTTTCTACCAGCTGCAGTCTTTGATAGAGTATTTCTAGTGAAGGCTGCATATCCTGATCCTTCGTATGCTTACTCCAGGTTGTAGGGATTCCTCCAATTGTTGACATAGTCACATCGTAAACTTCCGGTTGAAGTGAAAGTAGAAAAATCGACTGCTTTATGTCCTGTCAAGTATTTTTATTCTTATAAGATTTTTGATGATCACTAGCTTCTGTTCGGTGATGAAACGTAACATTTCCACTGGAAGACTGCATGGTTGATGAAAGTTTGGAGGCCAAGTTGATCAAATTTCTTCTGTCCATTTAATGATGAAGTGGAATTCGAAACCACGTGGTCCTCTTGTGTACTAACTGACGCATTGTGGGATTGCGCACTACCATATATGGTGTAGCTTGAATTTATCTGCTAATAACGGAATAATGTCCAGCATTTCGGTTATATTATCATTATTGGTATTAAAGTCTTGAAAAGCAATATTCAGAGTTCTGACTAGCACCTTCTCCTATCATTTATCGGTACTATTATTCCTTAACTGACTCATATTTTCTGGGTCACATCAGGAACATATATACTGTTAGATATACTGTTCCCAGGTCACATTGCACTTGCACGGTTTACCTGATTATTACCGTCCCATACCGAATGAGAGGTCCAATAGCTAATGAGAAGCAAACACATTAACTAACGAAGTTGATAATGAATAGAATAATTAACAGCATCTTTAGAAGCAGGTACAATAATGAATTATCAATATCCATGTTACGAAAATCAACAACAATACGAAGAAGTTTCCAAATGTCCCATGAAAACGTGTTAAAAGTCCAGTTTTGATTTACATCACAAATTAATATAGCTACTTTCATTTTGACTTTCAAGAAAATGAAAAGTAAATTTCTTGAATTAATTTTCCACAAGTAAAAATATGACTGCTAACAGTGCAATGCTCAAACGACAACTGACCATCCTATCAAAATTATATACAGATGTTCTCTAATTACACCCATGCTGTCATCATGCTGTTTCCTATCTATGATCTAACACCTATCCCTTAATCTCTTAATTAAAACAAAACTGCCAAGCTGCCAAGCTGACAAGCTGACCTTATCATTAACAAAATAAAACCAGGGAAAGTACATACCCTAGGAATTTATCAAAATATGTATAAACTCTAATTTAATTTTTTAAATTTCCATTGTCCGTCTTTATGTCTGTCAGTACGTATGTACGTCCCAAAATTAGTTTCCGTTCTCTAACTTTAGTTTGCCTCAACCAAATGTTATGAAACTTATACACAATGCTCAAGAATACAAAACAAAGATCAAGTTTTAATTTGAGTTGTGTCACTTTTACCATTCTTGAGTTATGCCCCTTTTAATAAATGGAAAAATTACTGAATTTTTCATTTCTGTTCTCTAACTTTAGTTTGCCTCAACCAAATGTTATGAAACACAATGCTTCTCACCATAAAACACAGATCAAGTTCGAATTTGGGTGGAGTCACTTTTACTGTTCACTAGTTATGTCCCTTTATAACATTATATGCAAACGGGGACATCATCTGTGTCCCCTGGACACATTCTCCATTTATTTAGTTTTGTTCAAGGTTTCATGCAGTCACTCTTGAAGTAATTATGAACTTCTAGTGAAATGATTGCATTAGACAATTAAAAGGAAAAGAATTAAATTACAAAGAAAAGTGTCCTTTGATAACTGTTTGTGTCTTGTTTTAAGGTTTTCAATGAGAACTAGTTGCTTATTCTGAAGATGCATAGAATTACCTTTGTATTAATGTGATTATATTTATTTCAGAATGCTAATGAGTATGATGAGTTACCTGTCAGACATAATGAAGATCAGCTGAACAGGTAACATTGATCAGACCCTAAACAACTTTGTATTGCTGTTCAGTAATAGTTATCCCATGAAGACGCGGTGTGTCAGTGTAAGATCACCCCGGAGGCCGGAGGGTGATCTTACACTGACACACCAAGTTTGAGTGGGATAACTATTTTACATCCCAGCTGTTCTAGATTATATAAAAAAACATTTACGCTTCATAACGTCTAGTTTTAGAACGCCACACAATCATTATAATATACTTTATATATTACTATATAGTATATACCCTTTATGAGCCCTAAACACTATGTTCAAATATGCTAAATTAACTGAGAGTTTTCAACCAGTCGTCCTGGTGTAGGGGTATGAATCGTGGGATATATGCTAAAGGTCTTGAGTTCGATTCCCAGCATAGACACTGGATTTTTTCTACATAAATTTTGATAGTTAGTCTTTTCTGTGTGAATATTTCTAAGTTTTATGGTGGATTTGACATTCCCGCCAAAATGTTACAGAACAAAGGAAAGTATGCAGAACAAAGAAACTCAAGTTAGGCTGATCTGGCAGGGGTGATCCGGCTCAGATCACCCCTGGTAGAACAAAGGAGCTGGGATGTAACTATAGTGATTAGATATTTTATGATATAAATAAAAAAGATGTTATTACAGTTCCTTCATATTACATTACCTTGTCTGTTCATTGTAACTTACTTCTGTTATATATTACTTATTTAATAAAGATCAGTTTTACAGTATGAGCAATTTTCAGATCTGCTAGGCAATTCCTGTTTGACTTTACTTTATATTTTATTATTTATACACTGAGCACAACATTTTCACTTCTCATATTCATAATATTCACTTCTGTATGAAGGAAGGATTATATATTTGGTCATAGATTTTATAGTGTTGAGTTGTGACATGTAAGCCATTATCAAATCTGCAAGGCAGTCGCCTCCTTTTGATAACACTGAATTTTTATTATACTAACTGAGCATGGAATTTTGTCACTGTCTGATAAGGATTGAGAGTATACTTTGTACAAAGTTGCATGGAACTTCTCCTGTAAATCCACCTTGAAACATAAAATAAAGTGATTATTATTATACATGTAGTATAATTAATGAGAGAATTTTAGTCCAGCAGTATGAGTTTTCTCCACCCATTTCTCTTATACTTCAATACAGGATGACTTCATATTTGGTCAACAACTCAACAGTGATGAGTTTTAACCTTGTGTGCTTTCAAGGTCTTTAAGACATGTACTTTCTGTTTTCCAATACTTTGAATGACAATTGGGGTGTGCTAAACAGGGCATCTCATGAAGTTTTTATTATACGACTGCAAAAAATTTTGCAGTCGTATATTGGTATCATGTCGTCGTCGTCCGAAGACATTTAGTTTCCAGACAATAACTTTAGTATTAGTAAATAGAAATCTATGAAATTTAAACATACGGTTTATAACCACAAAAGTAAGGTTGGGATTGATTTTGGGGGTTATGGTCCCAACAGTTTAGGAATTAGGGGCCAAAATAAGCATTTTTCTAGTTTCATGACAATAACTTGTGGAACAGTATATGGATCTCTCTGAAATTATACCACAAGTTTCCATACCACGAAGGGATGGTTAGGATTGGCTTTGGGGGGTTATGGCTCAAACCGTTTAGGAATTAGGGGCAAAAAAGTGAGAAAAAGCAAGGGTGTCCTGGTTAATGGACAATTACTTAAGTACAAATTACAGTGTAGGGAGGTAATTCAAACACAACTTTGAATTACCTCCCTTACACTGCTTTTATAAATTATGTAAGGAAAATTTTGTATTGTCTTGAGGTGATTAGCTGTCAATTCATTTTTAGAAGTTGCTATTTTAATAATTTTAAAAATGCTGATTAAGGTAAATTAATTTTAGCTATGATTTTGTATGTCATTTTCTATGACTTTTATGATGTATTGAATTGAAATTATGACCATGACTGAGAGAAAGAATTTTATTTTTGGAAAAAGGGGGGGGGGGAGGTTAATTTTGGGGGTTGGGGGGGACAATTTTTTCTTCTGAAGATTTCAGAAATCAAAAAGAAAATCCTTTAAATTTTTCAGTTATTCTGTGTCAGAAACCTATTATGGGTCAAATATTGAATTACAATCCAAATTCAGACCTGTATCAAGCGCGAATATTGTGTCCATTTTTGCCCCAACTGTTCAGGGTTGGACCTCTGTGGTCGTATCCAGCTGTGCTCGGCAAAGCAATTTATTTCAATTGAATTTAATTGCTGTTTATATTTTATTTATTCAGTGAGCTTGCCAAGAAGTTACCAGTGGAAGTAAATCAGTACACTTATGACTCTGCTCATACAAAAGCCAATCTGTTGTTACAGGCCCATTTTGGACATGGCCAGGTTGGACTGCCATCTACAGATTATAATACTGACACAAAATCTGTTTTAGATCAGGCCATTAGAATACTACAGGTAAGGACAGGTTGGACTGCCGTCTACAGATTACAATACTGACACCAAATCTGTTTTAGATCAGGCCATTAGAATACTACAGGTAAGGCCAGGTTGGACTGCCATCTACAGATTACAATACTGACACAAAATCTGTTTAGGATCAGGCCATAAGAATATTATAGGTATGGAAAGGTTGGACTGGTCTTCATGAATAATTACAAAACTTAAGCATTTTTTAATGGAAAAAATGAAAAATTTAAAGGAAATTCTCATTTTGTGTTTTATATGGCATGCAAATTTACAAAAAATAAAAAGAATATATAATACCATTTTTAATCAATTATTCAACCTTAGTTTAGAGGAAGAAAATATTAGAATTAGCTGAGGTGTTATGACACAGTTCATTTGTGAATAGATTCAAATTTTAGTTTAAGAAAAGACTGTTGACTCAGAAAATTACAATGGGATAGGTTTTGCAGTTATATAAAGTCACATTGCAAATTAGATAGCACAATTTGTATGCAGATTTTCCTGACATTGTGATAATTAATTTCTTATTCTTGTCAGTTGTTGAATGATTACAACAATAAATGCATGCCTAAATTTCTAAATTTACATTATTTGATTTTTTGTACAAATTTGACCACATATTGTTTTCATATATATGGTTCTTCTATGTGATGCGTTATAAAAATATGAAAATAAAATAAACAGTTCACATGATAAATTTATTTGTAGGCAATGTTAGATGTATCAGCTGACGAAGGCTGGTTAGTGACATCATTACGGATAATGCAGATGGTACAAATGGTTGTACAAGGTCTCTGGTGTCATGACAATAATCTTCTGACTTTACCACACATGATGCCGTATCATCTTGCTTGTCTGAGGTAGGTAGCCATAGCAACAATCTTCTGACATTGTCTCAAATGCTCATTTTCAAACTTGAAACAAATTATTCTAAACAATGCAACAAGTTCTTTCACAAAATAAGTTGTGGTAAATTATAAAAAAAACTCAATCTGACACAAAACAAGTTGTTCAATCTCAAATGTAGAAAAAACTCAATTTGACACAAAACAAGTTGTTCAATCTCAAATGTAGAGAAAAACTCAATCCGACACAAAACAAGTTGTTCAATCTCAAATGTAGAGAAAAAAAACCAATCCAACACAAAACAAGTTGTTCAATCTCAAATGTAGAAAAAACTCAATTTGACACAAAACAAGTTGTTCAATCTCAAATGTAGAAAAAACTCGATCCGACACAAAACAAGTTGTTCAATCTCAAATGTAGAAAAAACTCAGTCCGACACAAAACAAGTTGTTCCAGCTCAAATGTAGAAAACACTCAATCCGACACAAAACAAGTTGTTCCAGCTCAAATGTAGAAAAAACTCAATCTGACACAAAACAAATTGTTCAATCTCAAATGAACAAAAAACTCAATCCGACACAAAACAAGCTGTTCAATTTCAAAACAAATTTGATTGGACATGTTCAAGAGAATGTTTCTAATTATAATTCTAGACCATGGAAAGGACATGGAGCTAAGAAGAAAGGATACCCTGACATTAAGAGTCCTATAGAAACTCTGCCACAATTAATGGCTGTATGTGATGGAAGGTTTGAGGCACTTAATGCTATGTTAGGTGAAGAAATGGAGAGAGGACATTTGGAACAGGTATGAACTAATAAACTCTGCCTCGATTAATTTCTGTATGTGATGGAAAGTTTGGGGCACTTAATGCATGTTAGGTGAAGAAATGGAGAGAGAACATTAGGAACAGGTATGAACTAATAAACTCTGCCTCGATTAATTTCTGTATGTGATGGAAAGTTTGGGGCACTTAATGCCATGTTGGGTGAAGAAATGGAGAGAGGACATTAGGAACAGGTATGAACTAATAAACTCTGCCTCGATTAATTTCTGTATGTGATGGAAAGTTTGGGGCACTTAATGCCATGTTGGGTGAAGAAATGGAGAGAAGACATTTAAAACAGGTAAGAATGAATAAACTCTGCCTCGATTAATGGCTGTATGTGATGGCAGGTTTGAGGCACTTAATGCCATGTTAGGTGAAGAAATGGACAGAGGACATTTAAAACAGGTAAGAATAAATAAACTCTGCCTCGATTAATGGCTGTATGTGATGGCAGGTTTGAGGCACTTAATGCCATGTTAGGGGAAGAAATGGACAGAGGATATTTGGAACAGGTATGAACTTATAAACTCTGCCTCTGTTAATGGCTGTATGTGATGAAAGGTTTGAGGCACTTAATGCTATGTTAGGTGAAGAAATGGAGAGAAGACATTTGGAAAAGGTATGAACTTATAAATTCTACCATGTATTTATTTTAAAATCTTTCAATTTAGCATAAAATGAATCATAGATTAACTATAGTATTTTGATATTTAGGGATAAATTACCAGAAACGATATCAGATTATATAAAAACTTGTCTCTTCATTCTGGGATCATAGATTTATTCTTATGAGGAAGCTCCAAGCATGCTCGGAGGATGCTCAGAGCTTTTTCAGTAGGCTCTTCTCAGCAGTTTATGTGACAATAATTATCATGATCCATTAAGATGTCAATCAAATCTATAGCACTTTTATAATAAGGAAAGTAGAGCATTATAGAGGAAGCTCCATTAACACCTGTGTAAACATCTGGTCTATTCAAACAAATCTTGCATTAATTTTACAAAACTATAAAATAAATGAGAAATTCTTCAATATTACTGTACAATGCTTGGTATCAAGTCTTCACAGAAAGAAAATGATTTCAAAACATTTTCTTAATAATTATCATTCTTTTTCAATACACATGATATAAAAAAACACTCAAATTTTATATTTGAAATATAAATATATTTTAAATGTATACTATTTAAAATGAAATATAAAAGTCATCAAAGACACAAACTATGGTTATTGATTTATAACCATACTACCAAAACATAGTACATTCAGTTTCATACGAAAAAGGGTTGATCTTTTTTTATATTCCATTTAATTTGACAGTTGTTTGAAATAAATCCTCCATTTCATTGCAGAAAAGTTTTTTTGAGACGCAAACATGTTGTTTCAAAGCAATAAAAATATATTATATTCTACAGGGAATAAAGGGGGAGAGAATTTGATTGGTTAACTTCTGGTGATGTTTACTTTCTTATATGCACTGAAAAGTTATGCTATATTTTCACTGTAGTACAGGACATTTATTTATGTTAAGTATTTCTTATTTAAAACATAGATAAATTCTGCACATTTTTTTTGAAATATAACAATCATGACAATTAAACAAAGACTTATAGGGGGAAAATAATTTTACTCATGCCAAGTATTTCTTTATTTAAAACAAAGCTAAATCTGCACAATTAAAAAAAAAATTCCAAGTAAAGAGAGACGTACTAGAGGGAAAACAATGGTGGTATTACCCCCTCAAACCAGGCATCCACTAATGAATTAAAACTTTTCTTAAAGTAGCCATAATTTTCTATAAAAGAACTTAGTTTGCTATTTAAAAAAACATATTACCATTGTTTAGTTAGTGGCATTACTTATTTAGGTGTAATACCACCAAATCATAGTACGTCACATCAGGTTGCATACGAAAATAGGTCGAAAAAAAAAAAACCCTTGAATTTGACAGTTGTAGATAATTGATCCTACATTTCATTGCAGTAAAACATTTCTGGGTCATAAACATATATCTTGGGTATTTCAAAGCACCATTTTTTTTTTATTTGGGGTTTCTATAGAATATTTTGGAAACTTGAGGTTACATGGTTACTAAAGCTTGTACACAGGTTAAAAAAGGGGGAAAATTTGATTGGTTAACTTCCAGTGATGGTTATTTTCTTATATGCAATGAAATGTTATGTGAAATTTTTTCTATAGTACTGGACAGGATCAAACTTTACTCATGCCAAGTATTTCTTTATTTGAAACAAAGATAAATTCTGCACAATTTTTTGAAAAGTGCAAATTTAACAAAGACTAATAGGGGAAAATCAATGGTGGTATTACACCTAATATGGGAAGCTGGATATGCACCTTTGACCTTGTGAGTACTCTCATGTGTTAAAATTTCTTGCTATTTAAGTGAAATATTACTAATAATGAAATATTCTGAGTGGATTGAGTCTCCAAAACACATTTTATGAGAAAATTTTCTTGAAATAGGACTTTACCACGAATATTAGTTGACAGAATAAGCCATACTTAGAGTTTTGGGGAGCTTTTTCTCCTTTTTTCTTATATTCTGCTATACTAGAAAATTTTTCCTAAGAAATACTTTAATAAATATATAGTTTTAAGTAAATGAAATTATTTTTGAAGCAGTAACAACAAATTATTCACCAAAAGAGAAGCTTTTTATGTCCCTCTCTGGAACGCGGCGTAAATTTAAGTTTTACGTAAGGACTTATGGAAACCTCCTTGGAGACAGTAAACTTTTATACGGATAGTTCATTCAGCTTGAATACTTCAATTAATCATTTATTATAACATTTCTATCATAAATGAGTGAAAGTTACCCCAAAATTTTTATTTATTGGCCTATAGAGTAGAAATTTTGAAGAAATGAGAGGTATAAATGGACCAAAAGAAACCTTATAAAGAAGACAAAGAGGTCCATTAGTAGTATTTATCATCCTAAAGTCATCTTTTGTATCATATTCAACTGTTTGTAGGCAGATGAGATAAATATTTGATCATTTATTGGTCCACACTATATTCTATCATGATGCGGCTTGGTTTGGATTTTTCGAAGAAATTTAGCTCGAATCGCTGTAGATGTCGTCTTACATTATACTAGATTTTTCTCAAACTATTGAACTGATTATGACAAAACTTGACAGGAATGCTTGAAATAACCAGTATTACAAAGGAAAAAAGTCACATTCAGTTTATTTAACAAAAAAGTCTTCTTTAGGTGTAATACCACCAAATCATAGTACGTCACATCAGGTTGCATACGAAAATAGGTCGAAAAAAAATATGCCCTTGAATTTGACAGTTGTAGATAATTGATCCTACATTTCATTGCAGTAAAACATTTCTGGGTCATAAACATATATCTTGGGTATTTCAAAGCACCATTTTTTTTTTATTTGGGGTTTCTATAGAATATTTTGGAAACTTGAGGTTACATGGTTACTAAAGCTTGTACACAGGTTAAAAAAGGGGGAAAATTTGATTGGTTAACTTCCAGTGATGGTTATTTTCTTATATGCAATGAAATGTTATGTGAAATTTTTTCTATAGTACTGGACAGGATCAAACTTTACTCATGCCAAGTATTTCTTTATTTGAAACAAAGATAAATTCTGCACAATTTTTTGAAAAGTGCAAATTTAACAAAGACTAATAGGGGAAAATCAATGGTGGTATTACACCTAAACAAGTAATTTTCAAAATTACCTATACAAGTTATGTTGAAAACAAGGCTGTTTCAAATATTACTTTTATATCATGAATAAGTAACTTATGTTAATATTATTTTTATAGGTGTTCATTCATACAGGTTTTACTAGCTTTAACAAATTTTCACAGACATCTGGTTATTTTCCCCATGAAATATACTGGTAAAGCTATTTAAATCCTCAACAAGCACTAATTGCTCGGAGCTTCCTCGTAAGAATAAATCTATGATCCCTTAAATAAATAAATAAATAAATAAATAAATAATAAATGAACAAGTGAAATCTAAAATATCGGTTAATATTGTTAGCAGCCATATTGAAAATTTCTTGTCAGAGTAAATTTGTTACAGGATCACCAAAACATAAAAATTTAAACTTTTATTGGGTTATCTTTGATGAGTTGCATTTTCCCAGAATGCATTAGACAAGTGACTACATCATATGTCAAACTCTAAATTGCCCTTATTCTAAACAAGTTTTTAATAGATTTAACAGAAACTTCCATACATCTACAATGTATGCTCATGTCCAGTTAATTGAAAATATTGTTTAGTATTAAATTGTGTGTTTTATATGATCCATGAAAACAACAAAAATTGGTATCTCAGAAAAAAATAACATTTACAATAAACTAAAGATTTACAGGTATGATTAAAGATTTCTAAGAAGTTTTTATAATTTAATTTTACAGATATACCAGACCGTTAGTAAACTTCCCCAGATCTGTGTAAAATTATCTTTAGAAGGTTGGTGGGAGGGAGGAACAGGTGAACAGGAAAAGCGATCTATACATACACCTTTACCAGGTAATAACAGTCGTAATGCATTAAGACACAGCACTACCAGGAAATATAACACTTAAATGGGGTTAGGATGATTTTATTGTGTATGGTTGATGGAGAAATTCAACAGGTTTTGGGAGGTTAATTTTGGGTGAAACAAACAGTAAAGGAAAGCTTTTAGAAAGATGGGTTAGGATGGCACTTTATTTTCACTTACCAGTTCAAGGTCATGTTTTACAACTTATATTGTATAAGGATGAAGTGTGGGAATTTGGGAGACAAGGAATGGGGGGAGGGGGTAAAAGTAATACACATACGTGTGTCATGTTATGGCTCAGATTTAAGACGGCAACACAACAACCCAATAAAACATGGAGACACACCAAGACAGCTAAACATCGGGGTCTTTATGACAGACGTGTCAAAATCACTTGTCGAGCAAACAAAATTCGTTTAGAGTCTTGACGAGTTTTTGATGAATCGATAAGAGACTGCCAACAATCTACCATATATCATTGGGCAAGACATGCTGAGATATAAAACCTATTCCAATCAAGTGAATGAAAATAAAAGTGATTTTTTTTTTAATACAGGTACTAAAATACAGGATGAGAATTGGATGGAGGTGCATGCTGACCAAGAATATGTTCTGAGAGTTGATATGGACAGAATAAATAAAATAAAGGTAATTATAACAGAAATAATCACTCTCACTAGCAGGTTGGTGAGACGAAATTGATATGGTCAGAATATATAATATAAAGGTCAACTTTTAACAGAATTATTAACCCTCACTAGCATGTAATGAATGATTGGTTAGACAAAGAACAAACATAGGTAAACATTGACCCTCACAAAAAAAAGTTAAATATAGAATTAGATTTTATAATCCTTAACAGCAAGTAGATAACCACAGAACAATTGTCATGACAATCATTAAAATGACACACTGTCAGGACATGTAATACTGGGCTATCTAGCATCCAGTTATTTCACTGTCAGATCATGTAATACTTGGCTATCTAGCATCCAGTTATTTCACTGTCAGGACATGTAATACTGGGCTATCTAGCATCCAATTATTTCACTGTCAGGACATGTAATACTGGGCTATCTAGCATCCAATTATTTCACTGTCAGGACATGTAATACTGGGCTATCTACCATCCAGTTATTTCACTGTCAGGACATGTAATACTGGGCTATCTATCATCCAGTTATCTAGCATCCAATTATTTCCCTGTCAGGACATGTAATACTTGGCTATCTAGCATCCAGTTATTTCACTGTCAGGACATGTAATACTGGGCTATCTAGCATCCAGTTATTTCACTGTCAGGACATGTAATACTGGGCTATCTAGCATCCAATTATTTCACTGTCAGGACATGTAATACTGGGCTATCTACCATCCAGTTATTTCACTGTCAGGACATGTAGTACTGGGCTATCTACCATCCAATTATTTCACTGTCAGGACATGTAGTACTGGGCTATCTAGCATCCAGTTATTTCACTGTCAGGACATGTAGTACTGGGCTATCTAGCATCCAATTATTTCACTGTCAGGACATGTAGTACTGGGCTATCTAGCATCCAGTTATTTCACTGTCAGGACATGTAATACTGGGCTATCTAGCATCCAATTATTTCACTGTCAGGACATGTAATACTGGGCTATCTACCATCCAGTTATTTCACTGTCAGGACATGTAATACTGGGCTATCTATCATCCAGTTATCTAGCATCCAATTATTTCCCTGTCAGGACATGTAATACTTGGCTATCTAGCATCCAGTTATTTCACTGTCAGGACATGTAATACTGGGCTATCTAGCATCCAGTTATTTCACTGTCAGGACATGTAATACTGGGCTATCTAGCATCCAATTATTTCACTGTCAGGACATGTAGTACTGGGCTATCTAGCATCCAGTTATTTCACTGTCAGGACATGTAGTACTGGGCTATCTAGCATCCAATTATTTCACTGTCAGGACATGTAGTACTGGGCTATCTAGCATTTAATTATTTCACTGTCAGGACATGTAATACTGGGCTATCTAGCATTTAATTATTTCCCTGTCAGGACATGTAATACTGGGCTATCTAGCATTTAATTATTTCACTGTCAGGACATGTAATACTGGGCTATCTAGCATTTAATTATTTCCCTGTCAGGACATGTAATACTGGGTTATCTAGCATCCAATTATTTCACTGTCAGGACATGTAATACTGGGCTATCTACCATCCAGTTATTTCACTGTCAGGACATGTAATACTGGGCTATCTAGCATCCAATTATTTCACTGTCAGGACATGTAATACTGGGCTATCTACCATCCAGTTATTTCACTGTCAGGACATGTAATTCTGGGTTATCTAGCATCCAATTATTTCACTGTCAGGACATGTAATACTGGGCTATCTAGCATTTAATTATTTCACTGTCAGGGCATGTAATACTGGGCTATCTAGCATTTAATTATTTTACTGTCAGGACATGTAATACTGGGCTTTCTAGCATCCAATTATTTCACTGTCAGGACATGTAATACTGGGCTATCTAACATCCAATTATTTCACTGTCAGGACATGTAATACTGGGCTATCTAACATCCAATTATTTCACTGTCAGGACATGTAATACTGGGCTATCTAACATCCAATTATTTCACTGTCAGGACATGTACTACTGGGCTATCTACCATCCAATTATTTCATTGATTAATTGTTGTTTGCTTAATGTATGTTGCTAATATTTCATGCATATTGAAGACAGTATTTTTAAAAGAAGATAATCTCCTAAAGTGTATTCCTAAATAAAGATATGATAAAACTGTTTTTATGCGACCGCAAAAATTAAAAATTTTTTGGTCGTATATTGGTATGACGTTGGCGTCGTCGTCGTCGTCGTCGTCGATGTCGTCGTCGTCGTCGTCGTCGTCTGGCGTCGTCCGGCGTCGTCCGAAGACACATTGGTTTTCGCACTCTAACTTTAGTTTAAGTGAATGGATCTCCATGAAATTTTACCATAAGGTTCTATACCACGAAAGGAAGGTTGGGATTGATTTTGGGGGTTATGGTACCAACAGTTAAGGAATTAGGGGCCAAAAAGGGGCCAAAAATAAGCATTTTTGTAACTTCCAGACAATAACTTGTGTGTAAGTGTATGGATCTCTCTGACATTGTACCACAAGGTTCCATATCACAAAGGGAAGGCTGTTATTGATTTTCGGGGTAATTGCCTCAAAATTTTAGGAATTAGGGGCCACAAAAGGGGCAAAAAACAAGCATTTTTCTAGTTTCATGACAATAACTTGTGTGTAAGTGTTTGGATATTTCTGAAATTGTACTACAAGGTTCCATATCACAAAGGGAAAGCTGGAATTGAGATTGGGGGTAATTGCCCGAAATGTTTAGGAATTGGGGGCCAAAAAGGGGCCAAAAATAAGCATTTTTCTAGTTTCCAGACAATAACTTGTGTTCAAGTGTATGGATCTCTCTGAAATTGTACTGCAAGGTACCATACCACAAAGGGAAGGCTGGGATTGAGTTTGGGGGTGATGAATCATAAGGGGGTTCAAAAAATTTTTTGGGGGGGGATTTTTTTTTTTTTTCTTTTTTTTTCTTTTTTTCCTTTTTTTTTCTTTTTAAATTTTCCATTTTAAGTTGGTTATTTCTGATTTATATTTAAAAGCAAATAATAATGATATGGTAGGAGATACACACCAAACAGAATGTGTAAATTATTATATAATAAGTATTGTGCAATAGCAAGAAATTTTCAATTGCACAGTATTGCACAATAGCAAGAAATGTTCAATTGCACAGTATTGCACAATAGCAAGAAATCTCCAATTGCACAGTATTGCGCAATAGCAAGAAATATCCAATAGCACACTATTGCGCAATAGCAAGAAATTGTCAATTGTACAGTATTGCGCAATAGCAAGAAATATTCAATTGCACAGTATTGTGCAAAAGTAGATACTTCGTATAAATTGCTTATTTCTTGATCAATTTCAATAGGGTTTTATTCTTGAATTCTTGGGGTTCTTTAATATGCTGAATCTAACCGTGTATTAAGTTTTTGGATTTTGGGCCCCGTTTTTAAATTGGTCCACATTGAGGTCCAAAGGGTCCAAAATTTAACTTTGTTTGATTTCATCAGAAATTGAATTATTGGGGTTCTTTGATATGCCGAATCTAACCGTGTATTTAGATTCTTAATTTTTGGTTCTGTTTTCAAATTGGTCTACATTAAGGTCCAAAGGGTCCAAAATTAAACTTTGTTTGATTTTAACTAAAATTGAATTCTTAGGGTTCTCTGATATGCTGAATCTAAACATGTATTTAGATTTTTGATTATGGGCCCAGTTTTCAAGTTGGTCCAAATCGGGGTCCAAAATTAAACTTTGTTTGATTTCAACAAAAATTGAATATATGGGGTTCTTTGATATGCTGAATCTAACCATGTATTTAGATTTTTGATTATGGGCCCAGTTTTCAAGTTGGTCCAAATCGGGGTCCAAAATTAAACTTTGTTTGATTTCAATAAAAATTGAATATATGGGGTTCTTTGATATGCTGAATCTAACCATGTATTTAGATTTTTGATTTTTGGGCCCTGTTATCAACTTTGTCCACATTGAGGTCAAAAGGGTCCAAAATTAAACTTTGTTTGATTTCAACAAAAATTGAATATATGGGGTTCTTTGATATGCTGAATCTAACCATGTATTTAGATTTTTGATTATGGGCCCAGTTTTCAAGTTGGTCCAAATCGGGGTCCAAAATTAAACTTTGTTTGATTTCAACAAAAATTGAATATATGGGGTTCTTTGATATGCTGAATCTAACCATGTATTTAGATTTTTGATTATGGGCCCAGTTTTCAAGTTGGTCCAAATCGGGGTCCAAAATTAAACTTTGTTTGATTTCAACAAAAATTGAATATATGGGGTTCTTTGATATGCTGAATCTAACCATGTATTTAGATTTTTGATTTTTGGGCCCCGTTATCAACTTTGTCCACATTGAGGTCAAAAGGGTCCAAAATTAAACTTTGTTTGATTTCAACAAAAATTGAATATATGGGGTTCTTTGATATGCTGAATCTAACCATGTATTTAGATTTTTGATTATGGGCCCAGTTTTCAAGTTGGTCCAAATCGGGGTCCAAAATTAAACTTTGTTTGATTTCAACAGAAATTGAATTATTGGGGTTCTTTGATATGCCGAATCTAACCGTGTATTTAGATTCTTAATTTTTGGTTCCGTTTTCAAATTGGTCTACATTAAGGTCCAAAGGGTCCAAAATTAAACTTTGTTTGATTTTAACAAAAATTGAATTCTTAGGGTTCTTTGAATGCTGAATCTAAACATGTATTTAGATTTTTGATTATGGGCCCAGTTTTCAAGTTGGTCCAAATCGGGGTCCAAAATTAAACTTTGTTTGATTTCAACAAAAATTGAATATATGGGGTTCTTTGATATGCTGAATCTAACCATGTATTTAGATTTTGGATATTGGACCATAATAGGTGAATGTCCAATTTAAAATTTTTAAGTTCTTAGACCACATTCATTCTGTGTCAGAAACCTATGCTGTGTCAAATATTTAATCACAATCCAAATTCAGAGCTGTATCAAGCTTGAATGTTGTGTCCATACTTGCCCCAACTGTTCAGGGTTCAACCTCTGCGGTCGTATCAAGCTGCGCCCTGCGGAGCATTTTATTAGAAGGTGTGATAAGGCCCTGTTTGTCCTAAACAATAGAATTATTACAAAATCTGTTGAAACATGAAGATCTTTCCTGTATAAAGAATATTCATTGAGATTTATTAGTCGAAAGCCAGCAAAAATTTTTTTTTCTACAAATTATGATAAAAATTACATTTTTTACACATAGTTGTGAGTTTGGAATAGAGTGCACATGCAAGTTCCACAAAATAAATTACATGACTGGTGTTGATCATACAGACACATCCAATTAAATTATTTAGTTGTTACTTGTATGTTTGCTTGTCCAAAAATTATCTGAAAATTTACCAAAGTCTGCTGATTTTTTTGTAATATCACAAAGAAAGGACATTTCAATGAGGTCACTACCATATTTATTTTATTTATTGTAATGTCATTGATTGTAAACTACCTGCTTCTTTTTTTTTTTTAATTAAAGATGAAAAGAGGCATAAATGTAAATGTTATTATTATAACTTAATTTTTTAGTGAACAATAAGCCATAATAAGGCCCTAATCTCTAATGATAACTTAGTTGCTTTTCCTCATGTCATGTCTGTTGTGTCACAAATTTCAGATCGAATTATCTATCTTTGTCTGTAATACTCACTTGATATATGAGATTTTGTTGATGTTTTAATCCACTTGTTAACCCATTCAAACATTAAAACATCCAAACTTGCATAAACAAATTTGCTGGATACAATGCAATGTTTAACTTTCAATTTCTACTGCAAAACAAAATCAATGCTATCTTTACCATCAGTGCTCTCAAGCACTTTGATTTGTGTATGGGGTTTCTGTCATACTGTGGTATACCCCATATTTCTTTTTATTCATATTAAAACAATCAAAAACAGTGTTAAAAAAAGAAAGAAAAAATACCATTTACTATCAATCTAATGGGTTGAATATTCAACAAAAAACAAAATTGGTCATACCATGTAAAACTATAGAAATATTTGTAAAATTAGGGAAAAAAATGAATCCTAGTGAAATTTGTTCTGATGCAAAAACAATGAGATACCCCAGTGTCAAGCACCCAAAATCCCCAAATGTCAAGCATACAAAATCCCCCATTTTCAATCACACAACAATCCCTCCTAGCATCAAGTATACGTAATATTTATTGAAACATGATCCCATTTCAGAAGCATGACAGTAAAGCCTTTGCACCACGATTTCCCAAACCAAAAGACGAAGGATGGTTCCTATTGGTGGGTGACATAGAAAACAAAGAAGTCGTAGCATTAAAACGTGTAGGCTACATCCGTGGTCGGTCCTCACAACAGATCGCTATAATCATGCCAGACAATGTAGGCCGTGTGATATACACTATATATATGATGAGTGACTCCTATCTAGGATTGGATCAACAATATGATATATGTTTAGATGTGATACCAGCTAGTATAGAATCCCAGGTTAATACAGAACTTATCGGGGAACTAGATTTTGGTGACCTGCAATTGTAACACACAATATTGTTGGTTTGAGTCCATGGTATAAAGATGATCTGGATCTTGGCAGAATTTTAAACAACTATCACATTGTGATGTTGAAAGAGGAAAATTTTTACTCTTATTTAATCTAGTCTCTTGATAAAGCAAGGTTGTATACATTTTTTCAATGTTATGTTGATAATAGTTTTCACTTAGTTATAAACATTTTAATGTCATATATAATGGTACAAGTCTGTCTTTTTCATTATCTGTTAACAGGATCTGTTTCATTGTATATTTAATTACAGCTTAATGTGTGATTCATTGCAGGATCATTTTAAAGTTACTTACTAATTTTTTGTTCAGAATTAACAGCTTTGATAGAAATTTATAAAAGATTGACCAAAATATTGTACAATAGAATATATTTGTTTGATGACAATAAACAAACCAAAGTTCCTTGTGATGACCATCACATACTAGCTAAGAAGGTTTATTAATAACACTCTATTTCTTTTTAAGAATTTGGTTTTGTATACAGTATAAGTTATAAGGATCATTTAAAGAGTATATGAAAAATTAATAGAAAAGTGTTCTAAAATAGGTCCATTTTAATTTTTTTGGAGCAAAGTTAAAGGTCAATAATAGATCATGTTAAATACAAATTGAATTATTTGTATCATGTTGTGTTTGTTATAATTATGTCAGGTGAGGGAAGTATAAGATTGACAGAAAGTACAACAAAAAACCCAACACCTTCCTTTCTCCATAGATTTGTCAAGGAAAATAAAAGATAGTATGTTATAACGTGTCTGTTGGAATACCAAGCCCACCTTCTCAAGTTTGATTTATTGAAGCTATCACCTGTTTGGATATTGACATCCTTATCTACCTTTCAAGGTAAATACACATGGTCATTCCAGTTGTTATCAAAAATCACTTTATATCTATAGCCTTCTATTTCAGTTTTATGAATTGAGGCAAAACATATCAAAGATAATAAAAAAATGTTCAATATTTAAGTGAATATGATATGACTGAAATTTTTGTGTGTCTAAATTTTGCTATAATTGTAGTAGTTATTTAACTGCAAAATTACTATAGGCAAACATATTGCCTATTTCATTGTTCATTGCATTGTACAACACAGGTTCATTTCTTCAACATTGATTGTTCCCAAGTTGAGACAAGGATTTGTATAGTAAGATACAAATCCTTGGTTGAGATACAAACCTAATACTTGGATGGAGAGTTGTCTCATTGGCACTCATACCACATCTTCTTATATCTATTTACACACAGTTCTAACTTATCTACATGTGTTTTTCAACATAGTAATATACATATTTGAAATTACTTTTTTGGCAATTCCAACCCATATCATATTTCCACTATCAGACATAATTATAGTCATATTCTAAAGCAATATGACATGTGATGCCATTTGTTATTGGATGACATCTGCTGTCAATTCCAGGACTAACAGATGGAATCATTGGCATTGAGCAAATTCAGACTTGAATCTTTACCGAAAGTTAAAATGTTTTATTATAAACATTTTTAAGTATTGCATTATAAAAGGAATAACAGTACTGTTTGAAGCTTCTGTTAGTTTGAGATTTGTTAATTCAATTGATGGTGTAAGCTCTCTAAATACAGTACTGGTATTCCTTAAATGTTAACTATAGTGCTATAAATGTTTTTCACTTCAACTGGTAAAACATGTAATGACATACTGCATTTAATTTGTAAAAATCAAATAGTCTCATGAAAGAAGACAGAGTTAGTTCCCCTTTGAAAGAATGATTGTTTTTACTGATATGCAAAATGAGAAAGTTTTATTGAGATTTGATTAATGCATTAAAACATGAAAATGTGAACTTGTTTTATAGTCTAATCAATAACAAGAAATAGTTTTGTATATTGACCAAAAAATCAAAATTGCAATGGCATTTAGATTTAGAGAAAATAAAAATTTGTGAATCCAGTGTCCTCTTCTCTATATCCTAAAATAAATTAAAAAGGAAAAACAATACACAAAAACTTTTGCAAATTGTGTGTATCTAAAGCTCTTTTCTGGATTTACCTTTATCAGGAATGCTCAGAACCAAAAAAGTGAAAGCCAAGGATGAACAAGTATTTCAGGAGCTATATAAACAACACTTACTGAAAACGAGTTAGCCAAACCATGCAAGGTTAACTTTTCATGAGGGAGTTGGGACTTTAGTTTCTGAATCTAATTATCTGATTGGTCAATCTTCAGCTATGACGTAAGCATGAAATTATATATAATACTTTAAGATGTGCTATATCAATGAGGAATTTAAACATGTTTAAATTGAAATGTGGTGTACATGGAAATAATGTTTTAAGGAAAAAACGATTTTTCAAAATTAGGAATACAAAACAAATGGCCTAATTTAATTTGTTTAGTAATCGAAAACTCCAATATTTCTGGAGTGATGATGCTATAATAACAAATCAATGCTTGTTGCAAGGAGGAAAATCTTAAATCTCAAAGTTGAAGAGGGAAAGAGCAGAAATGTTAATTACACATATAGACAAGGAAAGTGACTGTTGACCAAGAGAGAAATGTTAATTACACATATAGACAAGGAAAGTGACTGTTGACCAAGAGAAGACTTTTTACAGGTGCTACAGTCAAAGGAGTGGGAGAGATTAAAGCTGTTGGATCTCAACCTTCTCTCCAAGACAACAGAAAGCTTAACTTTAGTTGAAACAAAGATATTGATCATTGTTATTTTGCATCGTTTCTTCTATTACCTATTCTAACATTGGACTCTGAACTGAATTTTACTGTGTGTATTGCTGTGTATTTGTTTATTCCACGTTGGCTAGAGGTATAGGGGAGGGTTGAGATCACACAAAACATGTTTAACCATGCCACATTTTTGCGCCTGTCCCAAGTCAGGAACCTCTGGCCTTTGTTAGTGTTGTATGTTTTTTTAATTTTGGTTCATTTATATGTTTCTGAGTTTAGTGTGACGTCCATTTTTTCTGAACTATTATACATTATTGTTTAGGGGCCAACTGAAGCCTGCCTCCAGGTGTGGGATTTTCTCGCTGTGTTGAAGACCCATTGGTGTCCTTGGGCTGTTTTCTGCTCTTTGGTCCGGTTGTTGTCTCTTTGACTCATTCCCTGTTTCCATTCTCAATTTTATGATAGCAAACTTAATTAAATGTACATAAGAAACTAGACAGGTATATACATAAGGAGCTTGATGAAAGCACGGAAAACTAAATTGATCCACATGGGAAAGTAGATGGATACTATTTGGTATTACTACATGTATGTAGTAGACAGTACATATTCAGAAACTAGATGTTACAAATATACAGGCATTAGAAACAAGACAGAACACACATTAACATAAGGAGCTAGCTATATAGATTTAAATGTAATAGGATTTGATTGTAAATGTTTACACGTTAGAAACTAGCTAGATAGATATTAAAAAACTAGAATGACAGATGGATACACATATTAAAGAGAGTGGTGATACAAACTCAAAGTAGGTGGATAGGCATGAAAAATTAGCTAGATACATGTAAACTAGCTAGATACTAGTTGGACTCTTATAAGACGGCACTATGATCCAGGAAAAAAAAAAAAATTACTTTTGAAAAGAAACTATCTTTTAATGTAACCAATCTAGATACATATGTCAATTCCAGAAAAGGATAAATGTTGTCACTATTTATTACAAGTACATTATCAGCAAATCAAGAATTGTATTTAGTGTATCAACTAAGGGGTGTATACTCGGATATATATGAAATCAGAAACATGTGAAGTTAAGAAATCAAAGTACATTATAGATGGTGTATTTTAAAACTTTCTTAAAAATATCATAAAACATTTCAAGCCAGAAAGTACCATGTATACCCTATCTTGTTCATTTGGTTATGGTGATTCAACACAAATAGTCTTATTTGATCCATACATTGAACCACAACTTGGATCGCTTTACACAAGTTTGTTACTGATGATCCAAGGTTAACTGCTTTGTGATTTTGATCATAATTTGAAATAAGCTGTATTAGCCTATATATGAACAAATAACATCATTTTGTCAGATTCTATTGAAGTGGTGCGGTAAAAGATAACTGGAATATTTTTTGGTTTGTTTTTGTTGCCTGGAATAATTAACAACCGTGTCCTAGAAAAACTAGTAATATGTTTTAGCTTTGATCAGTTTACATGATCTTGTTTACACTCAGCATACGGAAGGTTCATAGTTTCTTCAAACAGTAACACGTTGTGAACTTTGATGTCTTTTAAGATTTACAGTTACAGAGAACAGCAACACATTGTAAACTTGTATGCCGACTAATACTAAGCCTGTTGAGATCGTTAGTATCCCTAAATAGACAGTATAGTGCTTCCCTATGTCCGTGGTATGTTTAACTGACTATTAGCTGGCAATCTACTTCTAAAATGAGGTATTTATGTTGTCCTGTTACACCATTGTCTCAGGTTAGGGGTGGGTTGAGCGCTCACAGACATGTTTTAATCCCGCGACATCCTGTATGAGTCCTGTAACTATTAAGAAATTCGATGGTTGTCGTTGGTTGCTGTCTGTCATAGGTTGTTTCCTTTATTGTTTTAGCATAGAACAGGCCATTGGTTTTATCGTTTGAAATGTTGACATTTTGTCATGATGGGACTTTTGATAAGTTATTTTTTTGTATGGTTTTTGGTCCTTGTTGAAGGCCGTACGGTGACCGTAGTTGGTTAAAGCAATGTCCTCTGGTCTATGATGGACAGTTGTCTTCTTTTTTTATATCAATTTGATAAATTTAATTTGCAATCATCAACACATGCAGTATGGTATAAACTCAAATAATGTCTCACTTACATGAGCGTCACTGTTGAGTCTTTAGTAGACGAAACGCGCGTCCCATGGTGTACAAATATATAAGCCTGGTATCTTTGATGAGTTTTTTTATATGGATTCAGAATGGTAATGATTGGATATATTGTGGCTTATGTAAGCACTATGTGATTCAGAATGATGATGATTGGATATATTGTGGCTTATGTAAGCACTATGTGATTCAGAATGGTGATGATTGGATATATTGTGGCTTATGTAAGCACTATGTGATTCAGAATGGTGATGATTGGATATATTGTGGCTTATGTAAGCACTATGTGATTCAGAATGGTGATGATTGGATATATTGTGGCTTATGTAAGCACTATGTGATTCAGAATGGTGATGATTGGATATATTGTGGCTTATGTAAGCACTATGTGATTCAGAATGGTGATGATTGGATATATTGTGGCTTATGTAAGCACTATGTGATTCAGAATGATGATGATTGGATATATTGTGGCTTATGTAAGCACTATGTGATTCAGAATGGTGATGATTGGATATATTGTGGCTTATGTAAGCACTATGTGATTCAGAATGGTAAAGATTGGATATATTGTGGCTTATGTAAGCACTATGTGATTCAGAATGGTGATGATTGGATATATTGTGGCTTATGTAAGCACTATGTGATTCAGAATGGTAATGATTGGATATATTGTGGCTTATGTAAGCACTATGTGATTCAGAATGGTGATGATTGGATATATTGTGGCTTATGTAAGCACTATGTGATTCAGAATGGTGATGATTGGATATATTGTGGCTTATGTAAGGAATATGTGATTCAGAATGATGATGATTGGATATATTGTGGCTTATGTAAGCACTATGTGATTCAGAATGGTGATGATTGGATATATTGTGGCTTATGTAAGCACTATGTGATTCAGAATGGTAAAGATTGGATATATTGTGGCTTATGTAAGCACTATGTGATTCAGAATGGTGATGATTGGATATATTGTGGCTTATGTAAGCACTATGTGATTCAGAATGGTGATGATTGGATATATTGTGGCTTATGTAAGCACTATGTGATTCAGAATGGTGATGATTGGATATATTGTGCCTTATGTAAGCACTATGTGATTCAGAATGGTGATGATTGGATATATTGTGGCTTATGCAAGCACTATGTGATTCAGAATGGTGATGATTGGATATATTGTGCCTTATGTAAGCACTATGTGATTCAGAATGATGATGATTGGATATATTGTGGCTTATGTAAGCACTATGTGATTCAGAACCATCCTGAAATATTTCAACATGAAGTTCCATACAGACATTAATAGAAGAGCAAACTAGCTGAGAAAATGGACTGCATATATAACCAATAAATGAAATAAAATTATAACAAGCTAGTATGTCCTATAAGGGTGGCATGCCTATTATGGACGGTTGGCGTTGTGAGCGAAAATGTTAAATATTCATTGACAAGTTGTTCTGTTCATGTGTGTAATATTTGCCGCTTGACACTAAGTAGTCACTAATCGTCAATCAAAATGAGCGTTTCTGATGAAGGTTCGTCCAGACAAGATCTCTCGTAAGCAGCGAGTTAGATATGCAGACTGATTTACTAGACCAGTAAATGAATCATTGACGGACTGCTAGATCGCTAGGATATCTGTCACCCTATACCCTGTGCTTAAACTTCTAAGGTCAATAATATAAAGCCCTAGAAATAAACTAATTCTGATTTTTTTTTGTAATTTATATACAAATAATAGATTCGAACTTTTTCAGGCAGAGTTTTCCTTTGATAGTTTTGACTACGGTACCGGTTCCTTTCGTATCATAGCACTCTCATTTACTTATAGATATTTGGTTTTATTTTTTTTTGGTTCGATGAATGTTGATCTAGAAGAAAAGTCCGTTTTCCCCAGAGCTTTTTCACATGAATTTATAATATAGAAAGTTTTTTGAAAGTTTGGAGGATTTCTAAAAAAAACAACACCTTGTGTGAAATGAATTCAGGGGACATCGGCTTTTTATGCACAAGTTTTTTTTTCTTCAATTTTGTTAAAAATTTATTTTTTAGGTGCATTGGCATACCTATTTTGTTTGGAAGCTTATATTACAACGTAAAATTAACATCGAATGTTTTCAATGTTTTTATTTGAGATAAAGGGTATTTAACTTCATTCAGTGGCAATCTTCCATTTAATAATCACTAACTACTTTCACATACACATAGCTTAGAGTTAGCGTGAAAATAATCTACTGATACGTCTTACATGGTGAAAATGATTTACTTTATCAAACAAATCACTGTTTGACTCTACAAACTTTTGGCATAATTAAAGAAACCGACTAGTAATGACTATATTGATACCAGGTAATGCATAAAACCATGTTAAATCAATTAGTTCATTTGAAATCCGCTAAACCAGTATGCATTATTCTTGTATTGACCGTACTTCTCTCATTGAATTTAATCAAGCAGAAAGTACTTACATTTAACAGACTATACAAGAGAAAAAACTAAAAAAGAAAAAAAAAAAATACAACCCGGAAAAGGAAAACCAACGAGGCTCTTTACTTTTGACAGGCACCGAAGCGTGTGGCGGGGTTAAAGTAGTTTTCTATTGCCCCTCCTCCTTTTCTAACGTGAAAGACGTGCGGTAAAGATAGAAAAAAAATGTGCGAAAAGAAAAAGTTGACATTATTTAAACTAAGTGTAAATAAAATAGCGATACAAATATTTGAATGTTTACTTTAAACAAAACACGTTATTAATAATGCATGATTACCTAACACAATAAAGTACAACCTGGCGGTCCATGTAATTTAAACTTTCTTTATGTACATGTTTAACTTTGTATTTTCATGTTGAACACCAACACTTGTTTGATTTTGGAATATGTTGCGATATTTCAAGGACCCTCAATCTCCTAATGTGCAAGTTGCGGACGGGCTCGCCCAAACTGTTGCGTTATGCCAGCTATGTGACAAAAATCCAATCAAATGGAAGTGTGTTGATTGCTCCGAATTACTTTGTGTTGATTGCAAGAAAATTCACGAACGCGGTAAAGCCACACGGAACCATCAAATATCTGCCGTCAAAGATCTTAACGAAGAAATTCTTGAGAATTCGGTTTTCAATTTGGAGTGCACTTTACATCATTATGCATGCTCCATGTACTGTGTCACGTGTAATCAGTGTGCTTGCGCAAACTGTGTTACTGACAATCATTCCGGACATACATTCCAAGATCTGAAAGCACTGTTAGTCAAGAAGAGGAAAGAATTAAAAACAGTTCTTAACGATTTAGAATCAAGGTTTATCCCAGAAACCCAACAGAGAATTGACTCTTTACCGGCGCATATTCGCGCGCACGAAAAAAACATAGAAGGTTTAAAATTACAAATGGAAAAGAGAGCAAGTTCGATAAAATTAGCTGTAGATGAATGCTTAAAACACCACTATGCAGAGCTTTATAGATATTCGGAGGACAGAATAAACAAGTTCTCAGGACATAAAGTCAACTTATCACAACAAATGAAAGAACTGAAAGAAAGCCAAATAAAATTGAGAAAACTTATTCAGCCGAATAGTTCTTCTGATGTCGCAATCCTACTAACGTCCACAATTAATATACGACCACCGGAAGCTACCGAAATAGCACATGTCGAGTTTTCGTCTGGAAATCTGACCGAGAATGATATACAGCGGGAATTCGGATCGCTCGGATTTAGTAGAAGGATTGAAAGACAGCAAACGTTCAATGTCGAAAGTACTAATGCTACACCCAAAATTGATAATCCGGTCCTGAATGCAGTTCAACAAACTGATGACGTTGTGCAAATTAACGTTCCACGAATTGACAATGTAGTTAAGTCGTCAAGGTTAACTAATGGACTAGAGCTCAAAACCTTAAATACAAGTTTGTCTTCTGTTACATCGATTTGTGTATCTAAAAACGATACATTATGGGTAGGCTGTGCATGTAGCAGGCGATTAGAACTTATCAATAACAGTGAACGCGCTCGAGATTTGCCACCTGTTATGACAAATGTTTTAGGATTCTCTTTGGCCGGGAATGGTGATCTTTTCATTACGGACTTTGATAATTGTAAATTGCGCAGACGTGAATATCCTTCAGGAAAATTGACACTGGTTAAGGATTTTAAACCTCAAAATCCGGTTTCTGTTTACGCTGATCTGCAGGAAAATTGCAGTATGATCTATGTCGGCCTTATTGACTCCGCCCGAAAATTGACCGACGACTACAAAAATATTAAAGGAAGTGTTGTGATGATTTCTTCGAACGGTGAAGTGAAAAACACGTTTGGAAATGGTCAGCCAATAGAGTTTACTGTGCCCAACAGAATTACTGTCAGTGTGTGTTCTAACAGTTTACTGGTGATAGACTCTACCACACCAGAGAGTGGGCGGATAATATCTCTTTCGAAATCTGGCAACATACAATTTACCTACAACCCAATCCAGAACAACACGTTGAACTTGTTCAATCCAACAGACCTTATCTGTACGTTACATGGGCAGATTTTTATCTGTGATGTTGGCAATGACCTTCTACATATCCTTGATCATAACGGTCTACTCGACCACTACATTGATACAAAGTCTTGTGGAATAGAACGTCCATGGAGTTTGGCTTTGTATGGTGACCGAACTCTTTTTATCGGAACTTTTACTTACAAAGGAAGAAAAAGGTCAAAGGAAACACAGAAAGGGGTGGTATATATAGTTACGGACTTTAATAGTAATGGATAAAGTTAAACCTTAGGACTAGAAATATAGTATGCATTTCAATTCATTTATTTTCAAGAAAAATGTTTAACTTCGCAATATGTATGTACGTTTCGATAATAAATTTTATCAGCCGATTGTATTGATATGGCCACTACTTGTGTCCTTTACTTGTAGATTCATTCTTATATAGTTATGAATCACAGTTTAGGAAAAAACTCAATAAAGATCTTTCTGAAGGTTTTTCAATAAGAAAAAGTTAAGAATTACCATCATACGGTGGTGATTTTGTTTGATTAAAGTAATTCAAAATTTCTCCCTTTCACATAAATTAAATGGTTAGTAAGTGTTTTATTTATTTTTTTGTATCCACACATATTCCCTAAGTACGTTCTTACATTGCCCGTCATTGTATATATACCACAAGAAGATATGGTTTGGGTTACCATGAGATGAATATCACTGACCTATTATTAACATCTTGGCTTGCATATAGAAAATGACAAAGAGGGAAGGTTAAGATTTTTTTGGGATAAACATATCCCGGTTGACATGATATTACAGGGCTTGCGTTCCCATCATCATTTCCTTAATAGGGAGCTTTTGAACTAATGGATATAATCCACTTATTGTGGCCACCGTTCCGTCCTCATTCGTCCGATTATGGCATCACCGATTGCATTTGTTTTTGTTAGAGGGTTGTTTAACAATAAATATATCACCGATTAACAGTTGATAATCACCGATAAAAGTTTTTTTTTGTTGAATTAAATATCTCGACATTAGATTTTGGATAGTGACATTGTTACCATGGGATGGTTTAACAAAGTCGATTTAACTTCTAGTGTAATTGTTTATGAAACGTAAACGTCTGGGTATCATCAAACCACGAATAAGCTAAAGACCATTCAGTAAATTAAAGTACCAAGTAAGCCGTTATGATTTAGTTCGCAAGACGCGCGCATTGTCTACATAAGGCTCATTATCAGCGCTTAAATAAAAACTGACTGAAGGTCAAAATCAATAACGAAGTTGTAGAGCATCGAAACCCAAAAATGAAAAAGAAAGTTGTTCCATCTCTGGATAAGACAACCTATGCCTAATTACATTTGCGCGCATTTATTTTACAGGTAACATGTAAATTGAGAAATTAAGATTATTTCAAAGGAGACAGTTTATTTCCAAATATTGAAATTTCACAAATTTAGAAATTAAATGTCTGTTGATTATTTGCATCCGAATCCAAATCCGGTACATGGTAGTTCAAGTGTGATAAACATCGATATACAGCCGATGAGTTTGTTCCCTTGTAACAACTCCATCTGAACTCTCAGTGCTGTTCCCTGTAAATACAACGATAACATTGTTGACGTAGACGAAATAATTCCATAGAATACACATTAACAATATATTGGATTTTTGGGATCATTTCGTCGTCCTGATTATGCATGACATAATTGGCACTGAATGTTAATCAAGCAACAATCATTCAATCATTCAATCATTCAATCATTCAACCAAGCCATTTCGAAACGTATTGAAGTGTTCATTCATTTATCGATGACTTTGATCGGTTTAGTCTGAAATCGATGTCGGAGTCGCTAATAAACAACTCTCTTACAATGTGATAAATGTATAACAGTTTCGAAAGTAATAAAAAAAGTGTTACTTGATTTCTGTAGCTGTAATTTTTAAAAAGTCCTTGCTTAAACTAATTCCAATTCATGCTTTACAAATGATTAAATTGTAAGTTCCATTGTTTGAAATTTCTTTCATGCTTTGTAGAATCAAATTAAACCACTTACACAAAAGACGAAAATATAAACAAAAGTCATAAAACCGATATACACATAACTAAAGATTGAGCAATAGGAACATCGTCACATCCTGCAATTCGTACAACAGTCAAGATGTATAGATTATCGGGTTCTCTACACATTGATATCGTAAAATATCAGCCTCGAGCCACAATGAGAACCTTTTTGGCGAGTGAGCCCGGTATTCCCCCTGCCTTCGATAGTTATAACGGAGCGACTGAGCAGGGTTGGGCAAAGGGAAGAACTATAAATGATGGTATCCGCTTATATACACTGTATGGTACATGGCTAAACCGTAAGTCGATTTCTAACTCCTTCGACCGCCGAAAACATACTTACGAAAGACTTCAAGATAGGGAGATATCAGTTTAAATATACTGTATGGTGCTGCCCGTAAGTCGATTTCTAACTCCTCCGACCGCCGAAAACATAATGCAAACCTCTAGATATGGAGTTATCCCCTAATATACCCTGTATGGTACAATGCTAACCGTATGTCGATTTCTAACTCTTCCGACCGCCGAAAACATAAAGCATAATGGAATTATCCGCTTATATACCCTGCATGGGACAATGTTAACTCGTAAAACGATTTCTTATTCCTCTGCCCGACGAAAACTGAAAACTTTTATAGATATTGAGTTATCCGATATTCACTTTACATTACTAGTAACTAACCGTCAGTCGGCTCCTAACACCTTCTGATGCCTTAGACAGATCGAAAGATACTATTGAATCTAGATAGTAAGGAATCGGGTCATATATATACTTACCGTAAGTCGGCCCCTTACATCTTCTACTGCCTTAGGCAGATCAAAAGATACTATTAAATCTAGATTGTAAGGAATCGGGTCATATATACTAACCGTAAGTCAGCTCCTCACACCTTCTGCTGCCTTAGACAGATCAAAAGATACTATTGAATCTAGATGATAGGGAAATCGGGTCATATATACTTACCGTAAGTCGGCCCCTTACATCTTCTACCGCCTTAGCCAGATCAAAAGATACTATTGAATCTAGGTCGTAAGGAATCGGGTCATATATACTAACCGTTAGTCGACTCTTTACACCTTCTGCTGCTTTAGACAGATCGAAAGATACTATTGAATCTAGATGGTAAGGAATCGGGTCATATATACTGAGTCCACTACAACCTGACCCTCGTAATATTTTCGGACAGGTGTTCTGGTTGAAAAATGTTTTGACAAAATCACACATTCCATCGTAAAGGCTGAAATAATGAAGATATTTTACAAAATGTCTTCGCAAATATATAATTAGTAATTATATTACTGTGCAGATGAAGGTACATGCAATTATTTTATCTGACAAACGTACTGTACTGTCAACTCTACACTAAGGGTATCATGCTTATAAAGTCTACTAAAGTGGTAATATCCAAAAAAACAAAACAAATAATGAAAAAAAATAAATAAAATAAAACAAATTAACAAAGTGGACATTTTTTCCGCAAGTTTTATTTGTAAAAACTGAATAGTGGCATGCCTCTGTATATTGTCGTTTGTACTCCCTAGTAACAAGAAAAAGGCCCAGTTAATTCTCGCGACTGTTGTATATACTGATATGGATACTGACAGGTGATAATCTATTGCGAAGTTGCCGTTTATGCAAAAAGTTTGGAAAGCCAGACACAATACTTAATTCTAAATAAAATTTAGTTCTATATTTTCATGATGGGCAAACACCTTTATGAGCATTCTTGATGGGGACAACACACGAAAAACGGTTCTAAAGGATTAATTATGATAACTGGTTATAAATTTCGTGCTCCTGAAGCGCTTTTCTGGAATCAACTTCATTGAGCGCTCAACCCATATATGTGACATTTGAAAGTCAGGGATGATTTAATACGTAGAAATGTTAGGAGCTACATAACAAATGGGGACTTGCAAAGAATAGCCAAATTCATCTACGGTCAACTGACACATTAATTGGATATGTTTTACAGTTCCTTCCACTAGGACGATACCATTGTTTAATTTTTCTTCTTATAGTTGATGTGTTTCCCTCGGTTTTAGTTTGTTACCAAGATTTGTTTTTGCTTGATCAAATTATGACTATTGAACAGCGATATACTACTGTTGCCTTTATTTAGTCTGCAAACTTAAGTTTACCTTCAATGGTTCAACACGGGTAATGATATCTTAGTTGTTTAATACATAGTAAATGTAATGGTTATAATAGTGTTAACATAATTACCATGATCCTATCTTGTTTATACATGGAACAGTTGTCCATGGTCCATTCAAGTTCTTCTCTATAGTGATATTGATTTTAGGTGGAGCATGCAAGGCTGACTCAATGGATCCCTCAAAATGTACTGTCAAGTTGCCTTTAGCGGACTGAACATCAAGACTCGATACATGTATCAAACTTCCCTGTCCCGAACCTGTGAAATGTATGTTATAAAGTATCATGATAACTAAATGCTCCTACGTGCATCGGAAATATGTTAACGTATATATTTTGGGAGCTATTTTACAGGAATCACCCACTTCACGCTACTGTATCATGCAAAACGGAGAGTATAGGAAATTTGCACTTTTTATCTTTTTTTATTGGCAAATTGAGACGACTTCATATAAAATAGAAATAAATTACTCGAACCATTAACACACAGCCTTCACAATACCAGAATATAATTGCCAACATTAACTAGCAAAACAACTCACATACAATATTGAAAAACGCAAATTAAATTCAAACTATAACCATATAAAAATAAGGAGATATGGTATGATTGCCAATGAGACAACTATCCACCAGAGTCCAAATGATGTAGAAGTGTAAAGAAACTATAAAACATCTTACGATCTTCATCAAATAGCAAAACTAATACTTTATATCCATGAAATTTCAGATGAGAAAAGTATGAATTTCAGAGACCATATCAATATGAATACTACAAACAACTTAGAAGTTATAGTGAAGATGGGGATACACGTTTTTGAGATGTGGTATATAGGGGGTAAAACCGAGTGCATGGTAAAAAGGCGGGAAGTTTGGAAAAATTACAAAAATCGAGATTTGTGAAATGAGCACCCCATGTCACGTCAGTGAATATGTGACATAACAGCATTCTTACTCCTAACAAACTTTAAGTTAATCTGAATGGGAGCAATAAGTACAGTTCTTTCCAACACGAATATCTGAATGGGAACAATAAGTTCATGCACTTCTTACCAACGCAAATATTGATCCTACATTTTGACGTATGTTTTGTTCAGTTGTACTTGTTGGTATCTATGCTTGATATGAATTAAACAGATAAACTTTAAGGGCATACGATACAGTTTTTGTCCCACGGTGAATTTCCTACGAAAATTTGCATACAAACTTTTTTTCACCTTGACAATTCAAATATGTTATTAAAAATATGTCTTCATACTCCGAGAGATAAATGGAGTCGAAATTTTAGAAATTTACTCAAAATTTCGGTTTCTTCGACATCTCCTTTGAACAGACATACCTTACTTTTTTGTTACAAAAGATAAACACGAGCGGATATGTGTTAACACATTTGAAATATCTTCTCTACATAATGCTCTGAATTTGAGTAACAAGTCTGTGGGTATGATGCATTTTAATCAAATTTTCATTTTGGCATTTTTTGCTGAATATCTATCTAATTAAATAAAATTTCCATCGTTGATTTCTTCGTGGAAATAATTACAAACAATCCTCATACATAATCAAGCAAACTGTCAGTTTTAAAAAGAGGGGTTCATGTAATCGTTTTCTAGTTAAAGATTAAAACCAGTCGAAAAATACACCTTTTCCGATATGTCATAGTTTGCATTGCAAAAAATTACCAAAAAAAAAAGCAACCTGTAAATATATCGTATGCCCTTAATCCAACAGAAACCCATCAACAACAAAATCCACAAGGACATCTAGAACTCAACATATAATCGACAAAATCATACAAGTATCTCACTGTGAAGTGTCTACACCGCAAGCTCCAAATTTATACCTTTCTCTCCGGATTGATTCACCAAAAATGTCGAGACAAAACATGACCAGAATACTTAGTGGTATCATATAGCTACATGTTCTTTGGCATAAAACTGTTTATTTGACCCGTTGATATGGGTACAGATTATCGTGAAACGTGGCGAATTTTGTTTCAGTGAAAATTGAGTTAAAACAGTTCGACTTGAAGAAAAAAAATCAGTTGATAATTAATTTGTCTCATTGCAGAAAAAAACATTACCTACCACAATCCGCCCATTGTAAGGACAGCTGGACAAAAGACAGCACACAAAATACAACAAGTATAAAGTATCCCATAGTCTCCTTGCGCTCCTAAACACTCGATAGAATGAGATAGTGAAGATGTTTGTTATCTAACTTCCTGATGCACTCTACCTGCATAAAACATAGTGAATATAAAATGTTCTCTTATCTACCCGTATAGTTTTAAGAATATATAAAAATTCTCAATGGGATGTCATTTGCGGTGGGGTTAAACATGATTATGAAATTAGAGGAAACAGTTTTTTCTCGACAGTCAAATCTAATAAACCCTCAAAAAGATACACAGCTAAGCAAAATAAAAAAGTCTACTGCTTTGCATACGTCACTCGCCACGCGAATAAAAAAAATCAGTCAAAGTATCATGACCGAAAATAATACAATCAGTTAATTTACATATTAGACGACTATTCTGGGATCTCGTATAAGAAGATATCTTTGACTCCCGCAACGCATGGCACGGGGAACAAAATAAGGAAATGTGGTATGATTGCCAATGAGACAGCTATCCACCTTAGACCAAATGACGTACATGTGTGAGCAGCTATAGGTCACCGATAGGATATAGAACATGTAGATGTTAGAATTAAAAAAAAAACATAATTCATAGATCTTATTAGAGTGCTGAAATGATAACCTTTTAGACTACGTTTATTCACAGGACCGATAAACTTACATGGACTTTGTGTAAATTTATGGGATCTTAAAACAACATCAACGTAAAAATTAACTGAAAGCTGGTTTCTGATTGTTGGTAAAGAAATAAAAGTTAATAATTTAGAAAGATTAAAAACCCCACAAAAAACACTCGGGATGATCTGGTGCTCTTCAGGGGTGCATAGATCCTGCTTCAAATACATATATTTGAATTTGGAACTTGCTTCGCTAGGGGCAAGTGGCATCCGTCAAGTTGCTCATGGTTAGTGCTACTTTGGAGATAAATCTCATTCGATGATGTCACAATTGTAAAAAAAGAGGACGGGATTATTCAGGATTTCCTCATGAATTGTCAATTCCTAATTTCGTTATCAAGCAGTTTATGTTATGTGATTATCACTCGAACTCGATAGTTACTGGCGCGTTACAGCGGAAACAACAACATATATTAGTCATTGATTTAGGAAAGATGCTAAGCAGCATTTTGGTTTTTGAAGATAGATTTAGTATGGATATTCATATACCTATTTGTATTTGTATCAACGACCTCACAGCCTTGGCCCAATTGGAAATAGTATTCACGTCATCAGATTGTGTTCTTTGTATTACTACTCATGGGACAATAAAAGAGAGGCAAAAGATACCAGAGGGACATTCAAACTCACAAGTCGAAAACAAACTGACAACGCCATGGCTAAAAAAGAAAAAGACCAAGAAACAAACAATAGTACACAAAACACAACATAGAAAACTAAAGACTGAGCAACACAAAACCCACCAAAACCTGGGGGTGATCTCAGGTGCTCCGGAAGGGTAAGCAGATCCTGCTTCACGTGTGTCACCCGTCATGTTGCTCATGTTAGTACAAACCCGGTAATGAGTCTAATTCGGTATGTCACATTCGGGAAAAGGGGAAGGGATTTTAGTTACGACATTAGGAACATATCCGCTATCATCTGTAAAACAGATATTCCATAACGGCCAACCAACTCGTGATGGCGTCCGTAAAACTTACGAAGGGATGATTTCGACTATACCACTTGGAACTCTTAGTTTAATAGCTTCCCTTTGAGCAGCAAAAAAATGAAAACAACACGTCATAAATTTCATGCGTCCGAAGCGCTTTTCTAGATTTACCTTCGTCAGGAACGCTCAAAGCCGAATATTTGAAAGCCAAGGATGTATAAGGACCGAAAACGTCTATCTGACCTTGTTTTAGTTTGTAACCCGGATTTGTTTTTATCTCTATCGAATCGATTTATGAGTTTCCAACAGCGGTATACTACTGTTGCCTTTACTTGTTATATTCATACCAAAGATTCATTTTTTTCGTATTTTTGTTAAATCCCCGAATATTCTTTACATAGATATTACTTGCTTCCCATATGATGATGGGTTGTCAATCTACAAGACAAGCAATATTCAGGAATTTGATACTCATTCTTAGTTGATGTTTGTGGCTCTTTAAAAATATCATTCTAAAACTAATTCAATTATATCTTTAAACGTTTTTGATCGGAATCGTTGCAGTGCATTTGGTATTATGAACAACTAATTTTCCGCTATATTGACACTAGCATAATATTTCAACAGATTTGTCTAATGCTCTGTGTTTAGTAGAGGCGGTTAGATGTCATCTAAGATACTGCAATAGTAAGTTGATTTTGTAAAATAGACAATGTAATTTCGAATCAGACACAGAACAGAACCTGCTATTACCATCTCAAACGGTGCAACTTTTAACAATGACGTTCGATGAAAAACAAATTGTAATCAAATGAAGTTTTCGAATTCCCAACTATTTTGTTTACCAATGTTTACATAAAGGAAAGTATGTACATCCTGAGTAGTAAGAGGAAAACCAACATCATATTCGTGATGCAAGTTCCTTGAAAAAAAAAGAAAAGAATAATTATAATAAACAATATATGAGTAAATAAAAAAACATATAACTCATTACACACTTAAAATTGTACACTCTGATGCTTAATAATATTGATAATCTTTTTTTCTGAACAGTTCTGTACCAGCAAAATTTAAACGAAGAACTTAACTCTATTTTCCCAGATGAAATTAATTCAATAGGCCGTCTAATGGTGGCACAAGGAAAAGCCTGAGTTGTACACCCATCTATTCCAGTAACATGCTTATGAATAGACGCCGAAACAATGGTTGCCCTTTTTTCTAAGAAAATACCTGTAATAATTATAACAAAACATCAGAAATATGTGCCTTCATCTTTTTAGCTACTGAAATCTTATCGTCTAATGAAAATCCAATCGGATCATTTCAGTGCAATATCAAATTCAAAAAGTAAAGATAAAACTTAATAAATAAGAATTTTACAACAAACAAATGAAATTTACATAGCCGATAAAAAGAGTGAAAATAAATAGTGAGTAGATTTCAATGCAAGAGTATATCCTAATAAAGTTCTAGTTCAAGCCAGTGTGATCACTGAAGTGTAAAAATACATGTTTCACTGCTTTGCTAATTAAATAATTTAAGTCTTGAATTAAAAAGTAAAAAAACAAAAATACCGAACTCCAAAGGAAGATTCAAAACGGAAAGTCCCTTATCAAATGGCAAAATCAAAATCTCAAACACATCAAACGAATGGAAAACAACTGTCATATTTCTGCCTTGGTACAGTTATTTCCTTATGTAGAAAATGGTGGATTAAACCTGGTTTTATAGCTAGCTAAACCTCTCACTTGTACGACAGTCGCATAAAATTCTATTATATTGACAACAATATTTGAACAAAACAAACAGACATGATAGGTAAAATTGTCAAAATTAGGAGTACAGCAGTCAACATTGTTTTATAACCTTAATTGCTATAAAAACAAACAAATATGTCAAAAAAGAAAAACAAACTGTCATATAGACAAAGCACATAAGCAAAAATGAAAGACAAGAATACAAAAACTAACCATATCAAAATAACACAATGCCGGGATGTATAAGTACCGAGCCACGCCAAAAGAATATTACCAAAAACGGACTAAACAGTAAAGGTTAATCATTTACAAAGACAAATAAAAGAAAAATATTACATGTAATTAAGATGATAAACAACGTCAGTACCTAGAATCTATACATCAAGATCATCATGTATTATTTGCGAAGTTGATAAGGAATATTCATCAACAAGGTCTTGGCATCTTCCGATGAACTTTTTTTTAGAAAAAGGATGAGACGTTGTTTGACATAACCCTTGTTCATCAACTTTCTGCTCAGACACTGATGACGCTTTATAAAGTCCGAGTAGCAGATGCAAGCTCTTGAGTAACGAATGAGTTGGGAAATGTATATCCCATATGCAGGTGAAGTTGGTATATTGCTACTAAGGTGGGGGAAATGGATTATTTCAAAATTAAAATCGTGTCGTTTGTCATAGATTCTGGTAATGAGATGACCGCTTATGTCAAATTCGAGGCATAAGTCTATAAATGAGGCGGAAGAAGCCGTTTCTGTTGTCTCTTTAATTTCAAAATAAAAATATAACACAATGAGCAACTAAATATGAACGAATCATAGATGACAGTGTATATACATATTTTTAATAATTGTAATGAGAATTTCCTTGTTTTCAATATTTTACCTAAGGCTATTTGATGCTTAAATTCAAAATTACAAATTGTTAATAAATCACGTCTTTCTGGAAGATTTACAATAACTGTTTGTTTTTCAGACACAATTATTTGATCAATTACATTTTTAGCGCGAAAAAGATATTTCATAAAATATAAGAGGTGTATTGGGATTAATTATTGCTTACTGTTGGAAAAAATATGATATCAAAATAATACATAGGTATATTTGTGATGTTTTAAAATAAATAGTCTAAATATCTGTTTATTATATGTAGAGCAATGACGCTTTGTCAAACAATAATTTTATTACATATAATGTGTTCTATTATTCTGAATAAATTATCATGTATACATTTAAATTGATTAATACTTCTTAAAGTAAATAAATAAGATATTGAATGCGTGTAAAACAGATAATTACCTGTCTATCAGTCCATCATATATAGCAAAGACAATACAACTGTTTACCACATACTTCTATACTTCTTATTGAAGATAGCAAATTTACCTTAAACTGGAAACGTTGATTGAAGAATGTTCATTTTTTAAATCTTATTGTTATCTCCCATTATATTGCATGTTAATTTCTTTATAAAGATTTCCATCTATCAAACTGTAATAATACACGGTTATAAAACTTTGTACTAGTTGAGGTCAATGTTGCAAAGGTATAGTTGTTGTAAAAATAAAACATGGAAGACATCTCGCTTTTAAACGTTTGTATAAGGTTTATGTTTGTCAAAATGCGCATCAGATGCAGTAAATATCTATCGTTAAAGTAGACTATTGACTAAGGTTTTCTCTTTGAAATAATACCAACTCGTTTGACTGTAAAATGTTTAGTTGTAAAACTT